CTGCAGAATTTAGTGTTTTTTGCCGTTGATCTTTATTAGCCTGAGATTGCCTCAGAGGGTGAATGTAATGCTGATATATCACAGTACAGTTTTCATGTGTGATGGATCCAGGTTTTATGTTTCCTCATTACAGAGTGCATACTTCCTCGCCTCATTCATAACCGTTCATTGTTGTTTCCCAGTGCACATATTTCACAAGAGGTATTATCTGTTTTTTTTTTTTTTTTTTAAATGACCTTCGCTGACATTTTGAAACATGGTTTTTCTTTTCAGGCCACTTTGTGTGAGCTGGGATAAAATGTCAGTGTGTTGCCAGTAACAGCTGGTTCCAGTGTGGGACGCAAACAATGGAAACAGCGCTGACAAGTCTTTGAAACTGAAAGATTTGTTGTTCGTTTATCTGATTGTTCTTATGTATTTAATTACTTTAATTAAATGACACATTGAATAAAGCTCAGTTTGAATGAAGCTCTGTGTGGTTGGTTCGTCTGTTTTCATCACCTGTAGGGTTTGTGCGTAATTATAGCATCATGGATGGGAATTAATTTGCACAATGAAAGATATAAAGTTCTCTTCTGCTTGATTGCAGGACAACACACCTAAATACTCACGTCTTACTCGCAAGAGAAACCCACAAAAACAAAAATAAATACCTCATTATGTAAAAAGTACCTCATTTTTTGTTGCATCATTACATCTGTAGATCATTGTCACTGATGCAATAAGTGAATATGTCCATATAATTATTTAAATACATATATCATGAGTGAAATAAGTAGTCGACCCCATGGCTGAGTATTTCCACCCTGAAGCTGAAGTTTACTGACAATATTATCTAAAGCAAAGAATAAAATTTCCGGGTTTTCATACATATCGAACCTAAACAATCAGTCCAGTCAACTTGCTGGATGAGACTTTTCTTATCATTATTCTTCTTCAGTATCAGTTTCTGGACTACAGTATGTGGCTAAATTACTCTAAAATTACATCTTTCCATTGTGCAGCTTGGGTTAGTTTTAGAGTATCTGAGACGAATCGTAGGTGAGCTGGTGTGCTTGAGCTGCAGCAAGCGGGGAATCAATAGATGGGGAGAGAAAGTGGGACTTAGATGGGATTATTTTCATGGAACAAATCTTCTAAATATGTAACTTTCACACAAAGAGATGAGATTTTCGGGGGTTAGTCAATGACTAGAGAGGAACTTATTGATTAAGGTGAGGCGTACTTAAGTTGAACTACTTTATATGGTCTTATGTTGCCTAATACATGTCCAAATAATATTCTTTCTGATATAAAACCACACTTTGGAAAGTAGACAGTACTGGGTATGAAATAGTGGAGTAAAAAGTAGCTAAGATACTGGTCTCAAGTGAACAAGAAGCAAAAAGCAATCCCTGGAGCTTCAGTGAAAAGCAACTGGACTTCTCTCTCATCTAAGCGGCGACCTCGGTTCTGAAGAAACACCTTTGAAAAACATAAAAAAAACAAGTCCAAAAACAAAACAAATCCTGTCACCTCCCTACAGCCTGCTATTGGCATCAACGCCCTATCACACTTGAGCTTGTTCTATGGCGCTTATCCAGGTTGTTTTCTCCAGACTGGATCCTTATGTTGTATCTGCTCTCAGATGTATGTCACTTTGGATAAAATGCAAAATGATATTGTCGAATTGATGTAGAAGTCCAGTTGCTTTTATCTGAAGCTTCTAGGATCACTGTGACCCGGATGACTGAGAATCTACACAGACAAGTCAAACTGTAAAAGCATCTCAAAACTGACCTTAAGAGCCAAACCTGGGTACCTGTACTTCCCACAGCGCACCCCGTTACTGCTGGTAAACGCTTCAGGTTGTGTAACAGCCCATCTTATCTGATTACTGTCTTCTCTAAAGTGGCAGGGTTTGTTTTTTATTCAGATCCAGTCCCTGCAGGAGACAGTTGGACTGAGGAGCTACACATGCAGTAACATGAGTCCTCCATGTATACAAACACACACAGCAGCTCTGTCAAATTATTTGGGGGGTGGTGGGGTGGTGGGGGAGTGTGACCATTATGGGAGCCACCAGTCGTGCGGTGGTGATGATGTGGAAACTCCAGGGAGAAGAGGACGGGCTTTGATTGCATTATGGACTTCTTTTTTTTTTTTTCTGCTGTTGTTCACAAAGTCCTTGAAGTGCCCACAGAGTCTTTACCGTGCATGAGGTCTCTCTGTGGGGTAAGATTAGACGTGGTGGCTTCCTCTGGTTGCGGCGGTGCTCCCTGTCTCTCCTCCTTCGGGCTGAGTTAGTATTGGATTACAGGTTCACACGCTCGCTCGCAGACCGCCCGTCGCCCCGACCAATTGCTCCATTCATTCCAGCGCCGGAGACGGCCGCCGGCCTCTGATTGGTTATCAGCGCCGGTTAGGGAACTTTCCCACGGCCAGCGCGTGCTGACAGCCGGCCAGCCACTCCTCATCACCACCGGGGACACACAGGGGGGAGGAGGGGGAGGAGGAGGGGGGGAGACAGTCACGGACCGAAAGTCCATTGGACCGCTGTCAAAAGTTTCTCCAAAGATCCTCTATGTGCGGGAAGATCCATCACTTCGCATGTCTGGTGTCACACACACACAAAAAAAGTCTGTCAGTGAAAGAGAAAGGCCCAATATGGAAGCTTGATTGTGGAGAAACAGGAATAATGAGAAGCTACTGAGGAAAAGGAAACACAAATCATATGCAAAATAAACCAAACATTGGTAAGAATCAAAGAAACTTCAATGGAAAGCCAACCCAAAATTAAAAGGTAGGGGGAAAAAAATGGGAACCAAGGCCCGGTTTTTTATTGTTAAAAAAAAAAGCCTAAAAAATAATAAATACAATCATAAGACAAGAGAAACATATCAGTAAAAATACAAGCAAATAAGCGTACTATAGTAAAATGGAAACACTGAAAAGCCCAAATCAGCTCTGTAACACTAAATATTTGTGTAGACAGAGAGGTAGACCGTGTACTGCACTTAATGAGAATATTGCACATATGTAGATAAAGTGTTTAAAGTGTTATATTATTATAGTTGGCTAGTACTCACCATCTGTGTGTCCGTCTGTGAACAGCCTCAAGCTGACGTCTAACACGTTGATATTTTACAGGTGAGCTAGGGATGGCCTCTCCTCTCAATGATTGGATTTTGGGGTCAATCAGTGCAAAAGTAGCTCCACTAGAGGTCGAAGGTCACTTTTTTAAAACTGCTGTGTACCTTCTAAACAGTGGAAGGTAGTTTAATGGTACTAGGTGCAGACAAACAACCATGTTAGGGCTTTGTGTTTGGATGTAATATTTGACCTTGGGTGATATTTAAAGGTGAAACTCAAGATCATAAATTTTGATAAACGGTGCAAGACAGACACATTGTTGGTATCAGAAATCATGTAGGTGTCCCACTGAGGATGTGACATTAGACCTTGGGTGATATTTCAAGTTCAAAAAATGTTGATATTGCCGTTATATTTTAATAACATGTAATATATATGTACACGGATAGGACCCATTCCAGCTTGGACAACCAGCCGACCATGATTAGTGAAAGAAAACACCTACTTTGTGGTAACTTAGACACAATGAAGGTTTACTGGGGCTCAGTGCAGGCGTGGCTGGCAAATATATCCCTCAACTGAAGGCCTTCTAGTTATAGAACAAAATAAAAATAAAAGAATAATTTAAAAGATGCTTTTGATGTATGGAGGCCTGAACTTTCAAAAACACTTTAATTTTTGTCATGATTTATGAATGAATACCCCAACCCATGTATATGACCCCTCAAAAATACGTAAAAATGTTCAAATCCACTGGTGTTTTATCTTATCTTATCTTAACCGGTTGATGTTGTACATAAATGTTGGACAATAAACTCTGAGGTTGCTCTCGAATGGAAATAGTATTTCCTAAAAGTTCACAAGACTTAATATTATCAAAAGAAAACTGATGTAAATGCAGGTTCATTTCAGATTATTCTGATATTATTGAATTTAATTTATTTTATTCGTACTAAGAATAAAAACAGCAACAACAACAACAAAACACTCAAGTGCAAACATGTGAAACAAAACAAAATTTGCAGAAGATCAAGTGATATATTCAAAAGCTCCAGAAAAAATATCTCAAGTGGACAATGTCATTTAAGTTTTTACCACTTGCATCGAAGAACTTCAGTATATTATCTGGAGACACAAGTCACTGATAATGATAAACCAAGACTTAAAAGATTTGATCGCAAGTTTGAACACAAACTTCTGAAACGGTTAATCCTGGGTGGCAATTTTAGTTGGTTAGTTTTTAATCAAAAGAATGTGCCAAGTCACTGTTATTTAGATAGAAACATCTAAACAACAAAACAGCTGGTTTGCCAAAACTTTCCAGTAGATAAATAAGGTTGTCAATTGAGAATTAAATTATCAAGCTTTAAAAACAAAAATTGAGATTAAGAATCTATTATGTCATTAATAGTGTGACTTTACCTGAGTAATTTAAATATCAAGGCCTAAAAAGGTACAAAAATGATATAAAACAGAACTTTACCTGAGTATAATAAAGATTAAAGCTAAAACCCGACAGCGTTTTTAATTATGACGTTGTGAAAAAAGATGAATGAAAACCCAACAACTCCAAGAATTTCCTGGAGTGCTTATAAGCGAACGTTTTCAATTCTATTTCCGTGTTTGGTGTTGCCATAAAAAAGATTCCTGAGGTCAGATCTGACAGCCAAAAGCCTTTTGAACCACTTTCACGGCATCGAAACCGCCGCAGAGTGGGATGTCTCTGCTTTTCTCCTCCTCTCAGATCTGTCAAAGCGCACCAGGATGCGCTTGGGCCAACTGCGCCGTCACTCAAACCCGACCCCGCTCTCTGATTGGCTGTCCGGCCTCCTGACCCCGCCCCCGCTGGCCGGCAGCAGCGTTGAAATGACACCGTGGGAAAGCTGAGCGCTTCAAACGGAGGCGCTCCGGGCAAACCTGGACAGACGCGAGTGACACGCTGAAGGAACTACTGTGGACGAAACAAAATGAAGAGGAATCACGATTTTAGCTCCTCGGACAGCGAGCTGGATGAAACTATTGAGGTGGAGAAGGAGAGCGCGGATGAGAATGGGTAAGTTACAGGTTTTTAGCTGTTTTCCTCCAGAAAAAAAAAAAAAAAAGTGGATAAGATTTGTGGACAACAAAGTTTGTAAAAGTAGCTAAACTTGTGCGTCTTTTCCAGGAACATGAGCTCTCCTCTCGGCTCCATGTCTCCCACCACATCCACTCAGGTGCAGGCGAGGAAAAGACGTCGAGGGGTGAGAAAATCTACATTTATTCATCCCACACTGTATTACCAAATCATTTCACATTTAACAGAACACAGATTGATGTCTAATGATATCTGTTGTGTCTCCTCAGATCATTGAGAAACGGCGCCGGGACAGAATCAACAACAGCCTCAGTGAGCTGCGCAGGCTCGTCCCCAGCGCCTTCGAGAAACAGGTGAGCAAAGTCTCACACTGCTCAGGAACATTAAAGTCCCCACTTATGAAAGCATGTTTCAACTGTTTTTGGATTATTTATATCTAAATTGGCTCTGTTTTGCTCTGTAGGGATCAGCCAAACTGGAGAAAGCAGAGATTTTGCAGATGACTGTTGACCATCTGAAGATGCTTCATGCTGCTGGAGGCAAAGGTGTGTTCAATAAATCTGACAGATGAGCACAAGTCAGCTCAGAGAAACTGATCTGAACAACTTGTTGAGTAAATCTGTGTTGTGTAATGCTTAGAGCATATGTAATCCTGGCTCTGTCATGTGCAGATGTTTGAGTCTAACCTGTTGTCTCCCCTCCTCAGGGTACTTTGACGCCCATGCCCTGGCGATGGACTACCGTGGTTTGGGTTTCAGGGAGTGCCTGGCTGAGACAGCCCGCTACCTGAGCATAATCGAGGGCTTGGATAGCACGGACCCCCTCCGGATCCGTCTGGTCTCCCATCTCAACAACTATGCCAGCCAGCGCGAGGCCCACTCCGGCCTCAGCCACCTGGCCTGGGGCTCTGCTTTCGGATCCCCTCCTGCCCACCTGACGCACCCCCTCCTCCTGCAGCACCAGCAGGCTGCACCCCTGGCTCCTCTCCCCCGCAGCACCACCAGCAGCCCGCAGACTCCTCTGTCGTCCACTTCGTCCCCCTCCTCCTCCTCCTCTTCTTCCGCCTCCTCCTCCTCCTCCTCGTCTTCATCGTCCTCCCTGGTTGCAGAGACTCACGTCCCGGGCAGACGCAGCGGCAGCGTCACCCCCCACTCGGACCAGGGTCCCATCCGGGTTCCCTCCTCCTCCACCGCCGCTCCCACCACCGTCCTCCACCCGGCCCTGGTCTCCTCATCGGCGTCAAAGCTCTCCCCTCCTCTGCTCTCCTCTCTCTCAGCGTTCCCCTTCGCCTTCAGCACCTTCCCCCTCATCTCCCCCAGCACCGCCATCAGCCCCCCATCCCAGACCTCCAGCGTGGGGAAACCCTACAGACCCTGGGGGATGGAGATAGGAGCCTTCTGACTGAAATGAGAGACACTATCTGCATATAGAGCTGGACTCAAAGGACAAGACTTTATTTTCCCTGCTAAGAAAGTGCTATTTTTTCTATGCTGATGATGACATCCCACAGAGGATTTACCTAGCTATAGGTTTTTTATTGTCTTGGTATTGTTTTTTTTTGTTTTTTTTGTATAGAAGAAGAATAAAAAAAAAACAGAGAGGAGGGAGACCACGACTAAAAAGCAACAGGAGTGATTTATTGTGTTGATTGATCTCAGCCCTTTAGAAGTTTCACCCACTGTAGTTGGCCTATCGGGGATGGCTTTTCCAGATGGTCAAGCAGTCGCTGCCTGTCAAGATCCGGGGCGAAAGTGTCCCCCCCCCCCAGCTTTTGTTTTCCTGAGCTGCAACGCAAAAAGTGTTAGTGCCCTGGTTACAGAGGGGGGCCAGGGGGTTGACAGTCACCCCCTTTTTACAGCATTTTATGGGGTGGAATAACTGAAACCAGGTGTTTTGTTCTACTAAATACTGGGAACAGAAGTTTAGCTACCAGCTCGGTTGAAATAAACCTAACCATGATTTACCCACAAGCTCTAAATGTTCATATGGCGCTCTATTGTTTAAGCTCGCTTCCACAAGCTTCCTCTCTACAGTAAATTCTGTTCTTTAACAATCGAGGCTTCACATATGTTTTACCAGCTTTTGCCACAGTGTCCCCACCTTTTTTTTTTTCTAATGTAAATGATGTTAGATTGATTATTTTTATTTTTATTTTTTATCACCTAGTCTCCATTCTTTGTATTCATTCCACACAGCAGCATTTGCCCATCATCTCCGTCAGTCCAAACAGTAGCAGCAAAAACAGTGTATTTATCTTTAGAGACATTTAGAAACACCGGTGCATCATTTTCGGCCTGTTGTCTTTGTGCCTCCTTGCCAACTTCACTGTCAGTTTTGTATATTTTACGGTTGTACAAAGCACAAACAAGCACTGACAAATCAGATTTCTCCACTTTTTCAAAGTTGTTGCTGTTGTGGTGATGACAACTTCCCTGCAATAAAAAAAAAAAAAACGAGTTCTGACGAATTACCTGCGGTTTTATCAGCGTGTTTGTTCAAGTGTGTTTGAGCGTGTGCACGTGTTTTTGTGTGGTGGTGGTGCGTGTGTTTGCTTGTTGATGCCTGCAGTTGTTTGTGTGTTCGTGTGTGTGTGTGTGTGTGTGTGTGTGTGTGGCGACGCCTGGTATCAGATGAGGCTGCTTGTTTCTCTCAGCAGCCCTCTGTGTGTGCACAGGAAACCATTAACAAGGAGGGGATATCCTGGACAATAGCAGCCTGCCCGGCCCCATGCGCTCCGTGGGAACTAGAGGAGGGAAGAAGGGAGGGAGGGAAGGTTGGAAGAGGATGAAGGAGGAGAGGAAGGAGGGATGGAGCATAAAGTAGAGGATGGGAGGAAAGGGAGAAGAAAGAAATGGGGCGAGGGGATCAAAAGGAGAGAGAGCAGGAGAGAAACTGTGAGAAAGGAAGTGTGCGGCAAAGAGTTTTGTCTCTTTGCCATCGTTTCAGGCCGCACCAGCTGCACCTTCTGTTCTCAGCTCCGACACACCGTCCCCTCTGCTGCCGGACCGAGGGTTTGCCAAAGCTATCCCAGACTCTCTCATTTCTTTCTCCAAAATCTGTCGCCCTGTTTTGATCTCTCTCTCTGTGTTCTCCTTGGGTGATGCAGGGCCAGGTAGTGATGTAAGCTTCGCTGCAGCTGAAACCACAAGGTCAGCTAGAGGAAGAACAGCTTGTCTTTTGTCTCCCCCAGCTGGTCACAAGTGGTTCTCCATCTGTGGAAAAAGGAGACTCGTGATGAGAAGAGGGGCAGTGCAATGTTAAAAAGTGCAAATGCATTTTAGGCAAAATGTTATGTAACATTAAGAAAAATATTAAAATTAGTCCTGTCAAAGTGTTTTATGGAAGTATATATTTAATCATTTGTGCAATTTGTTTGTGCAAAGAACTCTTCCATCACCGTACTAAAAACTGCAATATTTTCTTTTAAAACACTCCAGAGCTAAAGTATAGATGCAAGAGGACAAACACAAACATGACTCTAACTGTGGAATAGAAGTATATGTTAGGGATCATTCATTTTCCTTAAGTATCTCTCTTTTGTGCATTGTTATGTAACAAAAAAAGTACTTGAAGAGATCATTTGCAAAAACAGATAACTCCATTTTTGTAGATTTTCAGAAAACTTATTGTTTTTGTTGTTTGCTTGAGATAATATCAATCTAAGTGAAGCTGAGTGGATTTGACTCAATAAAAATGACATGACGAAAACAGAGATAACTTAAGTTTGATTGATATTGTCTCAGGTCAAAGATGGAAAAGTGGGTTTTCTGAAAGTTTGTGAAGATGGAGTTATCTGTTTTTGCAAATGAACTCTTCACTTGTACTGTCCTCACATACAGTTATTATAAAAAGTAGTCACTCCTGTGGCACTTTTCCTTTTTGTTGCTTTTTTATATTGCATCATGCTCAAATTGATGTGGCATTTTGGCAAGAATTTGCATTAAAAGACTCTTTCATGTCAAAGTGAAAACAGATTTCTACAAAGTAATGTCAATTAATTGAAAATATAAATGATAAAAAACCAAAAACAAGCCCAATACTCACCCCTCTACAGCCCATTCAACCTGCTGCCGGTGATACAGAAGCATCCACTTCCCAACGACAAGACTTGGAAGCAGTTTCTTTTCTCGCGCTGTGAGATGTTTGAACTCAGCATTCACACTTTACCACAAAAATATGACTTTTTGATTTGCATTAATGGACTACTTCTGTCTTTATGCCAATTGAATCTTTGGATTTTGGAAAAAAATAAAAACAAACGTGACTCCTCACAGCAGGAGGGTTTGAACCTACAGGTCAGCTGGGCCTTTTATGTGGTGTTTGCATGTTTTTTATGGACCTGCTATGTTTTCTCTGCACTCTGGTTTGTTCTTGCATCCAAAGACAGGCATGGTAGGTGAATTGGTGGTTCTAAATTGGCTGTTGGTGTTAATGTGCATGTTTTTTGGGGGGTTTTTTTTCCATCTATTTGTGTTGGACTCCTACAGCCCTCCATGACCCTCTACAGGCTAAAGCAGGTATAGCTAATAGATGCATTGACCATAAGTATATTTCACCCATACATGAGGCTCTTTCACAAGAATTAAAACTAAATATTAGGTATTGTAACCACAAGATAAGACACAATCATGAGACACTGCTAACTTCACGATGAATTTCTTGCAAGAGGTTAGGAAACATGTCTCTGACATGACAGTTTGTACAAAGTCTGCTCATATATTCAATATGGAATAATGGTTTAAGTTTCTTTTCAAGCAAAAATGTAAAGTCTTAGCTGGTTCCAGCAGGGAATGCTTCACATTTTCTTCAGTTAAATCACAATAAACTGAATAGCTTCAGGTTTTGGACTATTTTTCAGACAAAATGAGCAAATTGGAAAATTTCATTTGGCATTTTTTTTTCACTAAAGTCTAGTTTTATAATGAAGAAAAAGAAAATTAAGAAGGAATTTTGATAGTTGCAGCTCTCACTAAACCAGTGAGCTTCCAAGTACAGTTTCTAGCTTCAAATAAAAAATAAACTGTTCTTAAAGAAATCTAGAAACATTCATGGTAAGGTAAATGTGCATGGTTGTCTGTCTCTGTGTTAGATGACAGTTGACTGGTTAAATAGCCTTTTTATGGCCCAAAGTCATACATAATTGTGGAAATTACACCCAGGTTGATCTAAAATCAAAACAAATATTAGTTGCAGCCCTAAAAACACATAGTAATTTGTAAGTTCTCACATTGTTCTAACCTGATAAACTGTTTAAGATGCATCAGTATTGTTAAGAAAACTGAAAGAAGTCACTCCAAAAGCCAGTTTCATTCACTGAACCCCAAATCTTTATTAACCACTGCTTGCTCACAAAGATATATGTGGAGAGGGGGAAACACACAAATGGAGAGAGGAGAGAGAGAGAGCAAGAGAGAGAGAGAGAGAGAGAGAGAGAGAGAGAGAGAGGCAGGTAGGATCGTCACTGTGTGTGTGGAACGTCCGACAGCTGTCACACACTGTCATGGTGTTGGTTTATATTTAACCGGATCAATATCACATGGCACAAATGTTTGGGTTATCTACCCGCCCTTTCTGAAATACACACACACACACACACACACTCACACACTCACACACATCTATAGGCCAACTGTGCGTGCGTGACCAACAGGGTTCAACCTCAGGCTTCAACACCCCTGGTTACAAACTATTCGGATACTTTTCAACACACTCATATACACCTTTAACAGATGGAAATACTGTGGTGATGAATCATTGTTGCAGTGATACCTGTTATGGCTTAAAAATCGTTCTTGTGCCGACCTCACAGTGGCATTTACAGTGTCTTGAGAGTGAAGTGCAATGATTCCAGTAGGCGCTGATGAGCACTACTCTAGTGGAACAGAGAAAGCTGGGATTTTTTTTTAGATTTTTTTTTATCCAATGTAAGATTCACAGTAGCAAGTGAAGTTTTTTTTTGTTGTTGTTGTTGTTTGCACTCCAGCATTCTTAGGATGCACTTTAACCTCAGTTGTGTTGCACACTACAGTGACTGAAATGTAACTGGAAGCTGAGGAATACAAGAGGCCCGCCATTTGTGGAGGATGTTACACGAGCGCCAGATGGACAGGCTTTACTCCTCCTGAGCTCTGTGCTAGGATCGCCTGTGTGGAGAGCGTGTGAGTGAGTGCTTATACAGTATGTGGAGAGATGAAGAGTTTGCAGACGGAGGGGAAGGAGGATGAGGATGGGCTCATTAAATGCTATAGTGTTCTCCTGTGGTACAGTCACTACCTACCTCACAGGAGTGGATGTGCGGCGACGGGCTTGCGGTCCCCACAGAAAGCAAACTGTCCCCCATTTTTTTTTTCCCCCTCTTGTGCCAACCTCCCCGCACATGTCCCCTCTCTAATTGGAACATTGGCATAAACTGGATGGAAAATCACTCGGACCACAAACACGGATCCAAAATTTTTTATTTTTTTGCTTCTAGGATCTGCTGGGTCAAATGAGTAAGCGCCCACTCGAAGGGGGACGAGGGAACGGAGCCAGGGAACCTTGTGAGGACGCAAACCGGTCGCGGCGGAACATCAGCTAGCTGGCAAACTCACAACAAACACCTAAGCCTGTTACCACACAAGAGAAACCTAAAAAATAAAAACATTCTCAGGCTGAAATGAACGGAAAAAAAAAAAGAGAAAATAACTCAAACATGAAAATGAACAGAATATTACATCCATATATATGCAGGGAGAGGAAACTCATATATAAAAATGGCACACTGCAATCAATACTTTTGCTGCTTGTATCGTACTGTATATAACAAAAAAAAGAAGTATTTACAAAAACCACTGTCACTTGTCAATTTCTTGTTTTCTTTTCTTCTCATTTGAAACAGAGCAAAAACATTCTTTTTTTTTTCTGGGAAGAGTGGGCAGGAGACATTAATTTTTCTTTTTTTTCAATCATTTTGGAGATTTCTTTTTTTTTTTTCCACCCCCCAACCCCCTGTTTTGAACCTCCCGCTGTCTTGGGGTGGCGCCTCAGGCTGTGGTTGTTTCGTAGTAGTATGGGAGGTGGGGTGAGGAGGGAGGGGAGGGGGGGAGAGTATGGCAGAGGTTTGGGGGGGAAGGTGGAGAGGTGGGGGAATGTGGGATAAGGTTGGAGGAAGGAGGAGAAGAGGAGGAAGGAGTGTTCCTCAGGGTTGGGGGTGGTGGTAGAGGGTGAGGAGGTGGGACGTAGAACCTGTTGGGGCTTCTCACGCTGTCACTTCTTCTCTCAACTCCTTGTTCCTGCGCACCTCCTGAGCATGCTTCTCCTGGAAACAGCACAGAGGGGAGGAAGCGTCACGTCGGACATCTTCTCAACATTTGATTCTTGCTCACTTCAACATTTCTCTGCTTTGACCTTTGCGGTGTACTTCATTTCCCCTTTTCTGCCGCTTGAGCCTCTCGCTCTTAGAATTTTTATGATCTCCATCTTCTTTGCTATTTTTTGAAGTTCTCCTAGAAACCTGCTCCATCAAGCAGCTTCCTCTTGTCTCCGTCTCTTTCTTTTCACTTGTCTCGTTCACTTAACGTCCATCTCTGCTCATTGATTTAACCTCTAAAAGCTCATCTCAGTGCATCAGATTTACTTCAGAGTATTCACAAGTCCTTCCCATGAAGATAATACCTTCCTGCTTAATAATCTTAGATGTAACTCTACACCATTGCTTCCTCTCCAATCTCTTATCCTAAAATGTAAAATGTACTTTTGCCCTATTTTCTTGGATTTCAATGGGTCGAAGAAGAGGATGGATAAATATGTTATTTAAGGTCATTCTTATTATATGTTTATTATGAATTGTTTGTATATTTGAAAGAATGAAGTTCCTATGAGTTCAAGATGAATAATGATGGATTTATAATTCTGAGTATGATTTAATGTATGTTGTACTGAATGACGATATGTTTCTCTACCTTATGACTGAGTTGTAAAGTTAACGAGACGAGCTGTTGTGTTTGTGGTTGTTGTGTGTATAAGTGCGACTGTGTGTGGACCCCAGGTAGGATAGTCAATACTTATAGTAATGGGGATCCTAATAAACTAATCTATTATGCTCCGACCTCTCTCCACCAGCTCAAGCACACCAGCTCACCTACAACTCTGCTCGAGCGCTGCGAAACTACTCTCTGCTACACACTGGCAAGTTAAAACATAGAAGTGTTCCATGTTTGGGCCAGAAACTGATTCTAAAGAAGAAAAATCTGCACCCTGCAATATGACAGGATTGGTTCCTTAGGTTACCTACACCTAAAGCCCCATGTTATTGTGTTTTTGAGACTGTAATAGTAAACTGCAGTTCCCACATGATATGTCTTCCAACATATAAAAAACACCATATGGACGTTTTAACTGTTAACTAGAGGGGGTCTTTACGCCTTCCCCCAACCTAAAGCCCATCATCCTCATGGGGACCAGCTGCATCACAACTTCAAGACAGATTAGGTCAGTCTTAACTAAATAAAGATTTAACCATCACTGAATCAAAACTACTTAAACTCTTTGGTTCCTAAATAACTGAATATTTACACCCACTGACTACCGGGTTTAACTGTTATGTAAATATGGTCGACATATCTGATGTAATACTTGATCAAACTGCTGATGCAACTGGAAAATGACTTCTAACCTTTTACAAACTTTATATAAAAAGCAACTGGTGCACTAAACAGTTTTGATTTTGCCAGATAAATAAAATATCACCTATAAATATGAACATTTGTATGAAAACTGCTTCAAAAACAAAGTTATATTGATTGATTGATTGACATATTTCTTATGTAGTCTTGCCTTTATGAAAGCATGAATATCATCCTATATTATATCTCTGAAACATGTTTCTCATTGTTTGCTTGCTGTATTGTTAGATATATCTTTTGGGTACAACCGTTTTGGCCGTCATGTTACAGCGACATTTGGTTCACATATCTGTTTGCTTCCAGGTGGATGCTGCCAAAAAATGCTATCAAGTAAAACATTCAAATCCCACGAAAGTCTCATAAATCATTAGTCTGAAAACAGCAAGTTTAGGCTTAGTGATGGATTTACGGATAACAGGTGCAACGCAATCCAGGGTTGTGACCATCATTTAGGACACAGAGGTCATGTCCTCAGTGGCTATTCCAGGAATCTGGGTGTTTTAGCATCGTGGAAAGCAATTTCATGCTACGGTTTAAAGCTCTTACATGGCCTGACAGCAGTATTTTATTACGACCCTGGATGTAAATTAAACTCACAGCTAATTAAAATAAATAAAAACAGATGAACTATCCAAATAGTTAAAATCATTTTCAGACTTTGTTTGTGCTCCTCACCTTCTCCTGCAGGCGCTCCATCATGGCGGCCAGGTAGGCCATCCGGTTCTCCTCGATCTGCTCCATCTTCAGCTGGAGCTTCTCCTCGGCCATGCGGCTGAAGTTGCTGTTCTCCTCCATGGCCTTCAGCAGCACGTCGCGCTCGTGCTCCCGTTTCTCAGCCAGGGTCCGAAGTACCTGCGCCTCCTGGGACTGGAGGAGGAGGGATGAGCAGCAGAGCAGATGAGTCAGGGGGAAAAGGGTCGATATGGAGACGGTGATTTACTGAAAACCACTCGTGGATTTTTCTTAAATTTTTAAGCATGAGTCAGAATCACAAGCACACATTTAACGTCTAGAACACGTCTCCCTCTGCCAGCTTCATTTTCTCCTGGCGTGTTCTATAATTTATGCAATGCCCTGTATGATTTAGTGATGGTATTGAGCATCTAGTGTTAAAAAAAAATCTGTCAAACTGCGTTATTGATTGATGAATGATTGGGTTAATTGATTTGTTGGTGGGCTGCTGGATTTGTCAGGTGCTGGACCGGCTGTATTGACATTTAAATCAATAGGATGCAGGAATTAGCTGATGTCAGATTACATTTTTCCCGGCAGTTTTGCAGTTGCGGTAGTCGATGTGACGTACGATTGATGTAAAATTAGATGCCAAGGGAATTTATTAGCATACCAGGAACACTCTGGCCTGCCTGAATCTCTCCTCTTGTTTGAAGTTAGAATGATGCTTTTATTTAAGCATCAGAATGATTTGGTTTTAATATCACTTAAAGTTTTAGCAGACTCTTATTTGTCACAGGACAGCTTTGTGCGGTAAAAATGATGGGAAGCATCCTTACTCTCCTTCGGTCCTCAGCCGCCTCCAGTTTCTTCTGGATGTCCTCCAGGGAAATGTCCCTCTTTGGGGGGTTGGTGACGCAGTGGGCCACATCAGACACAGGGGAGGGCGGCTTCAGGATGACCTCGAAGGCCTGGCCTGAGGCGCGCTTGTTAATGGGCTTGATGTCCATGTCTGTGACAAGGAGGAAAGAAAAACAATAAAACTCTGAGTTATCACCACATTTTCAAAAAGTATTTCAAGGAACCTATTTGCCCCATTTTTTTTTTTTTTTTAAGTCTTTATCATTTTTGCAAGATTGAAAAAAAAAGAAGAAAACAAAAAGATCTAACTCACTGATTTAAACAAACCTCTAAAGTTGCAAACATTATTTTGAAGATTTGGTTTGACAACAATGTTGCATCATCTTAGTATTGTGTGTAGTAGAAAATCAAATGTCTGCATCCTTGATTTAAAACTAAATTCAAGTTAACTTGATAAAATAGGCTTGATGACTTAATTTTTCTTCACCTTGATTTAAAATTAAAACTCAATGTAGTTTGTTGGTTAAACACAATTTTAATAGAAGTTGTCACAACTCAAAAAGATTCATGCAAATGATTGTGCTAATATATTTTTGTTGAGCCCAGACACTATCTTCTAGAGTACGTCTGATTTTTTTTCCCTTCATGTAAGTTTGATGAGGAAGAAAATCCTTTTCTTATTGCCACCTACCTTCAAAGTCACCCATGATGTTTTTGCGGCTCTCAGGATACAGACAGGAGCAGATGAGTGAGAGAACTGAAATCTCCTTCATCTTCTCTTTGTAAGCTGTGGAAGTAAATGGAAATATGACTGTGTTACTTTGCTATTATACGTATTTTCAGCTGCACCGCTAACGCACATGCACAAAGACAAGATATTAACCCAGTAACACACTAAAAGACGAAACATCATTAACCTACTTCTACCGCCATAGGAGGCCTTTGATGTAAATATGAAGATTTTTGGAGAAATAATTATTCATTCAGTCCTCCAAATGGAAAATCTCATCAAAGGATGTCTGCCGCAGCAGAACTGCCCTGGGTTTTGTAGACATTTTTTGGCCTTTGTTTTCACTCAGCTGCGAGGAGAGAATGATGGATGGATCCTTACTTGGCCTAATTTTCTCAACAGCCAAGATGTTACCATCCCCACAGGATCCTCCTCACATCATTAGCTATGCATTTTTATTTTGGGCTATTATTTATTAACGTTCCCAGACCAACGCCCTTCTTGGCTCCCAGCTATTCTGTAGCTAATGCCACAAAACATCAAAGGTCAGCTTCATGCTTTTCAGGTAATTTAAAAAGCCAGAATGGAAGGATTTAGGTTATATCTTCAGATAATCTTTGGATTTCTTATCTTCTTAATCTGTTTATATGGATACAGCCTTGGGTTCAGCTTATCAGCAAGGCACAGCGACGTAACAGCCCATCTCGGGGTCCGTTTATGGTCCAAAATGTTAATAACACTGAAGCAAAGCTGGCATCAAATCACACTGGCTGCAAATGGCAACCTGCGTCCCGCTCCATAGGGCGGGACGAAGCGCTCCAAAGGGCAGACAGAAAAAAAAGCATAAAGAGAACAACCAACCTTGTCTAACCTTGTTTTTTTTTTTTCTTACTCTTGTGTTTTTGGCACCTACTACATTGTAATGTGAAACTCAAGTTCAGCAGCAGTCCCTGCTGGGAGGGAGGCAAAAATATCTGCAACACACTGCAGGTTGTGAAAATTCTGCATTTGCACATAGCCGCTGTGTTCTGTCAAGGTACACTGCCTCATGCTGCAGATTTGCATGCCAACTGTCATGGTATGGCATAATCCATCACCCAGAGCACACGGCCTGCAGGGCTGAAATGTGGCACACTGATTCATGATTTGCAGCCGGCTACAGTAGCAAAGCCAGAAATGAGATTTACTGTGAAAGAGCTCCTCCATGGTGGGGTATGGTGTACAGTATGATTAATCCAAATCCTCCTCCTTACTATTCTTCCCCTGCTCACTCTCTCTTCTCTCTGCGTCTCGTTTTCTGCCCTGCAGACTGGCAGACGCCACAGTAATGTGATAAACTCTCAGATGTAGCTCTCACTACTCTCTGATGGCCTTGTTAACCCCTTCCCTGAGGAGGAAGTGGGAGAGAAGAAGCATGGCAGGGGGTGATAAAAAAAAAAACAACCAAAAAATAAAAAAATAAAAAATTGAGAAGTACTGGAAGAAATGAGAGATGGGTGAATAGGAACAGAGATGAAAGTGGAGTTTGTTAGAGAAGAAGAAAAGAGTGAAATTTCTGTCAGATGAAAGGAAAGGAGTGGAAGGAGAGAGAAGAGAAAATGCTGGGCTGATGGGGCGGGGCTTCACAACGATGCCTTTCTGATATAAACAGAAATCACAGACAGGAGGATTAGAAACCAGCAAAAGGGGGCAGCTCCCAGTGGAATTTCTGCCACCATCAACTGCCCTCAGGACGGACTAATGAAAGCAGCCACCTCAGGTGGATAGTGCTTTAATTTGTAATTAGAGGGCTGCACCATTTCTCCTGATGGGGGGGGGACTGGACGCATTTGGTGGCTTGTCACTGGCTCATTAGGTGGCATGTACATGACAGGACCCCCAGCAGCCATTTTCTCATACATACAATCCCATTTGACAGCTAAAGGCTCAGACAGTTAACAATTCAGTGGAGCAGGTAATAGGGTTAAGTGCTTATGGATGCGATCAGCAGAGACTTTTGTTTAATGGTTGCCAAGGTGTGGGCGGATCCTCCTCTGTGCTCGCTAACGTTTTCAAACTGAACATGCACATCTACATGGACAGTTATCATCACAATCAAGGAATCTGCTGATTATTTCCTTGAATTATCGTTGAACTGTTTAGTCCTGAGCCAAGCGGATGAATCAAACCCAAAGATGTTCCATTTTTTTGTTATATTCTCTATAGAAATGCAGCAAATCACATTTTAGGAGCATCAGAATTCATTTTCTGTTGATAAATCGAGCAGTCTGTGCAGCTCTGTTCTAGTTTGCTTAGTTTTATTTAAGCTGCATAAGATGGATTTTTTCACTTTGACTGTATTGGAATAATTTTATTTCTGAGCCATCTTGGATGATAACCACTTACTGTGAATTGAAACTGCCCTTTAGCTCAGAGCTGCATATTTTTCCTTTCATATCCATAATCAGAAATATATGAGATTCTCTATTGTGTAAAAATATTAAAGTGCCACTGTATATCTCCTGAGAGAAAAGATCTATTCCCTGTGTAACCGCTGTAATAATACGCTCATTCCCAGCGGATCAGACACATAAAAATGACAAATGATCCAGAGTGACATTCCACAGTAGGCGGTGTCCAAACGCAGGCATCTGTTCAAAGGTTCTTCCTGAGTTTCAGACGTGCTGCGTTTTTATGGCAGCCACAGATGAGGCAAAAATAATGTCAGACAGACACTTTAGAGCTCCCACTCCACTCCAGCCGGCTGGTTTCAACCAGTCCCGGTCTGCAGCCTCCCTCTACAGGATCTTTCTGTCCCGACCACAGACACAGCCATCAAACTGCACTTCCTTTTCCAATCCATCAGCCAGAGCAGCACAGATCATCAATATCTGCTGCACCTCCTCCCCCTCTCCTGCATTCCCGAGCCTCCTTTTCATCTGTTGCTGATGTATTCTTCCTCCTCTCAGTCCCGTCCTCTCTTTCTTACAGTCTCTCTCTATACAGTCACCCACACACTGCATCCCCCAGGAGCTTCGGTTCTGCGCTAGCACAAACCGCCACCACACCTCCTATTTGGTAATTTTCTTCAGCCACACTTCTCCTCCTCCTCCTCCGCTGTTACGAGAATTTAATAGATGGCTGCCTTGAGCAAAAAACGCACACAGGGTGGGAAAAAAACAAAACAAATGAAAGCTACTGTTTGCCAGGCAGTGAGCAAACTGCCTATTAAAGTCGTCCCACTAAATGTGACCAGTGTAAGAAAACCCTACTACCCTCCTGGGTGCCGTAGCCCGACAGCTCGGCCTGTGTGTTCGGCACATACAGCCGCTTTACAGTCAGGCCACACAGCAACAGTATAATCGCAAAAATTATGAAGGTATCACAACAGCAACATTGGCCATTAAAGGAGCCATTATGGCACCCGGAAGATCAAGAGCAGGTGGGCTTGGTGTCAAGAAAAACCGCACCCTATGTCCGTTGGAGAAGATCAATATAGGGCTGCAGCTAAAAAACCATTTACAGCATTCAATCTTTTGGGTTGTAAAAAGCTCAGAGTGATGGATTCACGATGAGCCCTGCATTCAAATATTGTCTTTTTATTGTCACATAAGAGAGAAAAGTGGAAAATCCTCACAGATTTTGCAACAAAGGGAGCTTTTTGCTTGAAAAATGACCCAAATAAGTGAATGTCTGTCCATCAAATAACCAAATAATAGACCATCTGCTGTAGATTGGTGCATTTGTTTTGCAAAACGATACTGTCTTGCAAGAGTAAATGGATTTTCTGCTAAATAGAAGTTAGTGCAGTGTGCATAATCGAAGCTCCTGTAGGTTTATACCAGCAGACTTGCCAAAGATGTTCACATGTGTGACCTATTACACCCTGATGTACATTTTCATAAACAGATCACGAGTATATGTCAGACTATCAGCACAGGATTGATGTCACCTCTTCCTCCCAGCGCTTCTTAAAGAGCAACAGCCATGTGAAGCAGGAATGGGAGTGTTCTCATGGATCGATGGCATGAAGCAGGATGAATTATGAGTCTGGGAGACTTCATGCAGAACGACGATAGCCATGGAGATGGGAAGGTGAGAAAAAACAGCAGAATTTGGACATGATTAGTGGCTTGAAATTGATGTTAATACTGTTATTGTCTCAGTTGCTGCTGTTTCCCTGCACAATAGGAACGGATTTTAGGGCCCTGGCTGAATGACCACACCTAATTGAATATGTCAAGTGTGCTTGATAAGGATCAGGAAAAGTGCTTTGAAGCCTTAATGCACACGGGAGTGGTTCTGAGCACCAGCTTGTTTGTTGAATCTACAGTACAGCTCCATCATTTCTACTCTCAGTTCTGTACCGAAGGATGAGAAAACCCACAGTATTTATCCGGCCTCGCAGGCCTTAAATATAGCAGTAAATAGTCAATGACCCCTGAAACCACAATGATTCCCTCCTCCATCTCAGAAGGTGCGTGAAAAGTAGAATTAAATTCCCCAGTCAGATTCAGAAATAGCCCCGTAAAAACTGCTGCCGTAAATAAAATACAGCCAAAATGAACTCGGCGACCCGGTGAGTGCTGACTGGCATGATGGCGGGTTTTTTTTTTTTCCTCCCAGAGTGTCTGCTGCTGCTGCTGCTGCTGCTGCTCCGTGCCCATCCCATTCTGCCTGTCCACAGCTCAAATCATGGAGGAAAAAAAAAAAAGAGAGGAGGCGTAGGAGGAGGAAGAAGAGGAGGAGGAGGAGGAGGAGAAGAAGAGGGGGAATAAATATAACAGTCAGGGTTTAGCTCCTGGTGTCCCTGAACACAGACACGAGGACCCTCACCACTGTCCCTCTGCATGCCCCTCCATCCATCAAGTGCTTTGTGAACCAGAAAACAAACAGACTATCCTCTAGACTGGGCCACACACACACACACACAGCACTAATGTCTCCTTATAAAACATATAAAAGGTTTTTTCTTCTTGAGGGGGGGAACCTGCAGACACCATCCACTGTTTATAGTCTTAACAATTGAGTGAAACGTTGCAACAATGAAAAAATAAACGTGGAAATTCACAGTGACACGAGAACAAGGCCTCTCCACCTGCCATAACATGTAATCTCATTCCATCCCTCCGTGCGTCCCCGCCGCCACATTACGCATCAATCTCAACCCAATGATAATACAGTTATCCGACATAACAGTCCACAGTTACACAGTCAATAACCTTCCAAACGGGGATTGGGAGTCTGATATGCCGGAGACGACATTGATTTTCATCGTCAGTCGTAAATTCTTCCCCCCTCTTTCGACTGCAAAGCAATTCTGGATGCTCCCTTCTTTTCTCCTTCATTCATGTCTTCAGCCACAAATAAATGCATTGAGCAGGCTTTACACTGCAGCTACATGCCATGGCCTAGTTTTTCCTTCTTTTTTTTGTACTAATTAGATTTGTCACGGGGAAAATATTTGACACCCTGGAGAGCAGAGCGGCCGCTTTGAAGGCACCGGAGATGTTGGGTGGGGTCGCTGGCGCTGCATTATGCTGCACGGCTCTGAGTCAGGCGATGAGGAGCAGGTGCGGCAGGATGGCATCGACCAAAAAAAGAGATGCTGGGCAAAAATTAGATAGAAAAAAACGACCCTTTCTTGCTCATTTCTCTGCAATTTTGCGTTAAACCCAATAAAAAAAAAATATGCGTCACCGATTTGGCAAAAGTGGATCCCCAAACTAAGCCACATTCATCATCTAGATTCCACATCACAAATTCTATTAAATTGAATGAAGTTGAGGAAAAATGAATGCTTCCAACTTCATTATTCAGAAGTGACTTGCAGAGGAGTTTGGCCGCTCCCTCCTCTAAAAGCCCTCAGCATCCTTTTGTGCCATGGGTGTCGCCACTGCCTCTCATCATCCTCCAACCTGCGAAGCCGCCGTAATCCCAGAAAATCATCGTGATAATAATGACGGTAATAAAAAAAAACAATAATAATAAAAAATAGATTTAAAAATGCAAAACTCACCGATTGCGGTTTTTGCCATTTCTGTGTTCTGGTGGTGCCGGAGGCGGGTTGGCCGGAGGAGTGAGCGTCGGTTTGCTGGCTGCTGTATCTCGGGGTGAAGGGACTGCTGTTAAGGCACTGAGTCAGCAGAGACGGGGGCTGCCGGTGCGCCTGGTGGTCGGTTATGAGCTGCGTCAAGCCGCACAGAAGCAACCAGAATGAGAGTGGAGGTGCGCGCGCTCATCCTCCACAATAAAAGCTGCCCGGAAAACACGCGCTGACACGGATGGGTGTAGATGATGAGATCACAGCGGTTCTGTAATGTAGGGCTGCACCTATTAGTCAGCTGAAGTTGATTCATCCTCTTTACTATTACTATTATATTATAGCTTCTGGAAAATATGAGGATCTGATGCTTTTAAAGGCTACAACAGTAAACTGTACATCATGTTAGGCCTTCTTCTGCTGCCTCACTGTAAAAACATTCAGCATGATTTTAGTGGAATTAACTAACATTTATTACTAACTTAACCCTCCTATTACCTTCAAATTTACTGACATCTTTTATCCTTTGGGTTCAATTTGACCCCAGCAATTTAAACCTACAGAAAATATCATGATTAAATTGTTACCCAAGATTTTATGTGTAAATAACCCTTTAAATAAAACTGGAAAAAAAATATGTCAAGGACTTATTTAGAGATGTTAAACACTGAATAGGGTTTAACTGACCCCAAAGATAATAGGAGGGTTAAATACAAGAAGTTTTGTTGACCTCAGCCTCAATTATCTATTTTTTATTTCCAGATTATTTTAGAATTTTCTTGTCTGATTTGAGGTCTTTTGAGGTAAAATGATGAGCTAAATTAATTTACAGCTGAGGCTCAATTTAAAAAGAAAAGAAAAAAAAAGTTGTAACACTAGCAGATTTCCCAAAATGCATCATCTAAGAGAAGGAAAACTGTCCTGAGATTCTTTTTCTGTAGCCTGAAGAACCCATCAAGATGTGTCATCTACGTTAAACCCTGTTTGTTTCCTTACATATAAATGACAATAATGCAAACCTGGAGGCAGGTTAGTCTTCACTTCAGCCCCTACGACTGTATACTCATTTTAAAACAAAGAAAGCAGGCAGTGCTTCATGCCAGACAAAAAGCAAACTCCCTTAAACTGAGAAAATATCAAATGAAAGCAAGTCTGTCTGGAATGATTGCCTTATAGACTACACAGCTGATAAAATTTAATGTCTAAAGCTGACAACTTGTTCAGCTACCTCAGCTAGTTTTACATCTAAGAAATCACAAGATGTTAAAACAACCAACCTAGTTTCAGTTCAATTGTATGTTTAGCCCTGTGTGCCATTTAAATCTGCTCACCTTAGATTATCTTAGATTAAGATTTAGATTAAGTTATCTTGGTACCATAAAAGTATGAGTTAACCTGCATTGGACAATTATTTAACATCTTATGAGTTTTGAGATGTAAGATTAGCTGAACTAACAGAACAAGTTCAGTCAACTTAACATCTTAAGTTAAATCAACTGTCTCCCAAAAAAACATTACAGACTTTTCTATTTACTCAATTTAAGGAGTCCAGTCTTTGACATGAACCAGTTACAACTGTTGAAATCATTTAGTGCACAAACCACCACGTGACGCTGCTTACAGTTTCTTTGGTTTGAAATAAATGCAGAGACGTACAGTATAAAAATGAACAAGAATGTTCAACCTAAAATAATCTGTAGCCTGGCCACCATAAATGTTTGCACATACATTAGAGCTCCTTAAAGTTAAAATATCTTTTGTGACAAAGGTGAAAATAGTCCCATCAACTTTATACTTTAAGGTTAATCAACAAGTTTTTCAGTGATAAGACATTTTAAGTTGTACAAACCTAAATCTTAGCTGAGACAACATGAAATAATCAGTAAAACCAACAAACTTCTTGTGACACCACGAGTTGTAAAAACACAAAAACAGGTTGTTTGACCAAACCAGTTGGTGAATTAATTTGCAATATTTCATTGGGCAAACACTTATTTTAAGGCAGTCAGGCTACTTTCTTAGGGATCATCTATCTCAGCTGAAATGTTAAGTTCTTTTACATTTTTGAACTATATGTATAATTATGATCAGGACTGAATTCACCCCTCATTGTTTGCATCATTTTCATTCCAGTGTAAAGAAACGAAAAGGATTTCACACATTTTAAATGACAAACAGGATTTTAATGTGCATGAATAGGTTCTTCAAGCTAAAGGAAGAGTCTCAGGTGACTGTTCACTCTCAAACAAAGCATGATGGGAAGTCTGCAGGCATTTTAGTTGTGATACTTAGCAAACTTTAGGAGCTCTAGATGAATCCAACTGTTCATTTTCAGTCAAAAGACCTTGAATCAGTAAACTCAGAACAAAAATGTGTTTATTTTTTTTCTCAACTTGTGTGTGAGTCACACTTGCAGCCATCCCACCATAGAAGTCGGTAACCCCACTCACCATTTTAGTTTTCTTAAGCTGAAACACTTTCAGCACTCCTACTGTGTGGACAAAACCACAAATGACAACACATTAGCTTTCACTTCAGACAACACACTAATGGTTTACTTAGTATTTGTCACGCACACATTTACTTAACCTTTATGTGTTCACCATGATCTTTTCTTTGTTCTGGGTTTCCTGTGACTTCTGCTGCTGGTGTCATCTGGCTGGATTTGAGCAAAACAGTCCAACACGTGAGCTCCGGGTTTTTATACCAGAGCTGCTAATCAGGCTATGTGTCTGCCACTTCAAGGGGGACAAGATTTGCTAAATTTAAATATTGCACCATTAATTTGACTTATGATGGGTACTGAGATATATTTTGGGTTTGGTTAATATCGTTATTTTTCATTAAACTGACAAATTGTGCTGCTTTGTGGTCTTTGTAGTTAGTTCAGGTGTTAATGTTTCATGTCTCCCCTGTTGTTTTCATTTGGTCTGATCAGCCAATATGTTCACATCCCATTTTGTTCCTGGTCTGTTCAGAGTTTTGTTTGATCAGTGCAGTTGGTTTGCTGTATTATTTTATTTATTTTATTTGCTATAGCCTAATTTATTTCTGTTTGTTTGATCTCTTTTACTGGCCTAGAATTTAGTGTTTGTTTTTGTAACTCAGTCATCGTTTTGTTTTTTTTGGTTTTTTTCATGTTTGTTTTTCTTTTCCAGATGAAATTAAAACCCCCTTTTTAAATCCAGCTGTAACTCCCCTTGCGTTGAAGCCTGATCTCTCACATTCTGTGTTTGAATTAGGTTGCCAGAAAAGATTAGCTACTTCCACTAAAATCATGTTCAGTGCTTTACACTGTGAATATATGTCTGTTTTCAACATGTGCTTGAAAAAACAAGCCTTAACTTTGGCTATGAATGAACACAATCACCAATAACAGAATTTTGGAAAATGAAAAGCGATAGGCATACTGTCTTCTGAAATTTAATAGACCAAACAGTAATCGAGACCTGGTAACGAGAATAATTGTTATAGTGGAGCCACAATCTTTCATCTAGCAGAGAAAGACAGTAAAATATAGAATTTTAAGTTAAGATTTGTGCTCCCATCACACCAGCTGGAGAAAGATCATCACTGAGGAAGCCTTTTCCAAGGTACCAAAAAAGTACCTGTTTTTTTTGTTTTTTGTTTTTTTAAGTATTAAACTGATTGTACACTAACGTCTTTCATCTTCTTCTTTTTATACCTAACAATCTTTTTTTTTTTTTTTTTTTAAAGTCCTTCCTCTTACTATGAAACACATTTTTTTTTTTTTTTTTTTAAAGTCCTTCCTCTTACTATGAAACACAACATTCTTTGCGAAATTTAAATGTATGTTTATTTGGTTTCAATATCACAGACTATAGTCAGCTGTCTACTTGTCTTTGTAGCATATTTGTTGTGTTATAATGTGCTTCTGTCAGCCCATCCATCCAAACTGTTGTCCTCCACTACCCCCAAAACATTACCCTAAGATCCACTGTATTTTAAAATGTTTTATTTTGAAATTAATGGCAGGACGTGTGAACATCCAGCATAGCTGCCTTGTCGCTGGTGCCAGTAATGAGCCTCTAGGTGCCTGTGGAGCATTCTGCCACACTCCCCTCTCCTGCACAGCCAAAGCCATGACAAACCCACTGTCCTGTTGTGTTTTAGGGCTCTGACAGCTGACTGAGGGTGTTTCCTCCTTTGTTTCAGTGGTGACGAGCAGCTGAACACACTCTCTGTCTGCGATGTCGAAAGAAGGAGAAAAACTCTTCAAAGAATTTGGGTTTGGCGTGTTTCATGTTTTTACATTGTCACTGCATCAAGGTTTCAGGTTATAAGGATGCTGAATTGTAAGCTCCTTAGTCTTCATATAGTCATATATGGATCAGATTCCTGAAGCCTCAAACATCCTCCTTGCAGACAGTAAACCAGCAGAAGCACGAGTTATCACCAGTGTAGAAGCAGAAAATAGCCCAATGATGGCCAAATCACAGACCATTAAATAAAAGGACGGAATTATTAAAACCTAATCACTAGGTGGCAGCAAACCTCAAGTCATAACTACTCTCTGAAAGGTAATACCTATGCTTACTTGAATCACATCAGTGTACTTTACTCATTTCTCATTGTCCTGTTCATTTAACTCATGGACTGTGAGTGTCATTTTTCCTTCAAGAGTAAACTGGACTTGAAACATTCTGTTCCTGGACTGAACACAGAGCTCAGCAGTGCACATGTGCAGTCGAGAAGGGCAGGAGAAGTTTCCAGAAACTCGACAGGGCGGCTGTGGCTCAGGTGGTAGAGCAGGTCGGTCAATGGTTTGATTCCGCCCTGTAACCATGTGTCCTTGGGCAACATACTTCATCCAACTTGCCTGGTGTGAGTACATATGAATGGATTGTTTGAGGTGGTGGTGGAATGGCAGCCACGCCTCTGTCACTCTGCACCAGGGCAGCTGTAGCTACCACCACCGGGATGAATGTGTGTGAATGAATAATTGACAGTATAAAACATCTAGAAAAGTGCTATATAAATCATTTTTTTAAATCATTTTTTAAGTTTCTAACCCTTGGAAAGATCAAGTTTGTTGTACTTGCTATTTTTAAGTTCACAAAACTAAGTCAATACAGCTAAATTTGAAGTAAACTTTACAAGTAAATATGAAGTAAACTGAATTTAAGACTAATGGTTATATTGAATTACCTTTTTTGAATGCAACTACATTCGTTTAAGTAAGATCAACTTTTCACATTTTACAGTGTATAAGCTCTGGCATGCATGACATTGAACTGGAAACTATTTTACAACACAATCATTCAGTGTATATGCTCCTCCACAGACAAAAGCCTCATTCAAACATACACTCAGCAACACAGATTTCCTTCATTGTGCACTTGTCGGCCCGTTTGTAGCCCACCGCATTCAATAACAAATGAATCTAATGTCCAACTCTTGGTGCTCCAAAAATACCAACTCGAGCGACAAGGCTCTTATCAAAGAGCATGTGTTTGCGTTGATAACAAAGCCGTTAGGCTCCTACCGTTTATTTAAAGTGTATGACCTTATGAATGGCCACTGATTAACCAGGACAGAATTTGTATGTAGTTTGAGTGTGCAACCGCAGAGCAACTAAGGAATGACGACAGAGATAGCCTAGTTCAAGGAAAAAGTAAAATTAGATGAAAAACAAAAGTGCCTCACAAAAAGAGAAATACACCAGTTAGTATGCAATGTAGTGAATACAAACAAATGTACTTAAATGCAATGTGGTTCAGACTTAAACCTTTAAAATGCAATGAAAAGCCACTTTAGAGAATGTAAATGTAAAATAATGTATTTTAGGGCAGGATCCAAACAATGCACATTATATTTGATTAATTCAGCTTAGACATGTAAAAACCCTCTGCTGCCTTAAAAATGTAGTTCAGCTGCACTTTCCATGATTAGCTAGATTAAAATCATCTTATGATTTGTAAAAGTGTCAAACTAACTGAGTTAAAATAACTTAAAGTGAGAAAAATACTTAAATGAAGTCAAGATATTTAGTTGAATCAGCTAGTTGTATAGACAACGGTTACAGACAGATCTGCATTGCTTTGATTTAATTAAATGATAATTTTATCTAATACACAAGAACTTACAGTCTCAGAGCTTGGACCCATTTTTTTTTTTTTTACCAGATGAAGGACTAAAACAATCTGTAAGACAATTCTGCTCCCAGACACAACCAGATATATTAAATGAAAGACATAAACTCAGCCGTAAAATAGTTTAACAAAGATACTCAGTAGGTATCCACCATGTCTGCTCTCTCAAACTACAGAAAACCAGAGTCCTCGGGGAGTTTTAACTTAATAGTGCATCCTGGAAAGTCCACTAATATGTTTGTGTTGTTTCTAATAAACTTAATTTAATGAGTTGAGTGAATGAATAGCTGAGAGTTCATTCAAAAGAAAAGCTGATTTGACCAAATTCCTTTATGATGTATTGCAGTGTAGACAGCTTGCTGGTCAGGTGTACTAGTGTGATTAAATCTCAGATCTAATCTGAAGCACTCTCCTACTGCCAGGTAGCTTCATTTCTGTAACACATTGGAATTTCTTAGTTGATTATATTTTGCTGTCATCTACATCTACAAGACAAATTAGTACTAAATGGATAAAGTCAAATTTGGACTGAAGTGGAGCGCTTGATTCAATTTACTTTCCTCCAGAGCTGATGAAGACCTCGTGATGCAGTCAAAAGTTCTCCGTCACCAGATATTCAATTTTATCGTCCTTGCTTCACTTTTCTATCATTATCCCATTGTCGTAGTCTGGTGCTTCTTTATTGCATAGATAGATAGATAGATAGATAGATAGATAGATAGATAGATAGAAATACAACAAAACTTGTGTGGTAACTCACAACAATCAGCAGCAGTGCAACCTGGAATACTCTTAAAAAACAAAAATATAAAAAGAAGTGAATTTAAAAATAATTTTAAAAGACTTCGGCTATATATTGATTGATTGATAATATAGCTACAAGTGAATGAAAAAATATATTAGGTGTTGTTAAATACATAAATTCGGTGGGAAAAATATATAGTGACGCTGACAGGAACTGCCTCATAGAGTTACCTGAGTCACGTGACACATTAAAGGGACTACTGTCGGCGTCCAGTGCGCACCTGTGTGACCACATCACTGCTCTCACGGATCAATGCGCCGATACGACGGCGATGCTAACAATGTAGCTCGGTGTGTTTATGTCACCGTCTACCGACCGTTCCTGTCGCCGGTATCCATTTAAGACAACGTATATGGTGAACGTTTGTTGATTTGGCCGCTAGTTTACGCGCCAGTCTCCGTCCCTTGGGCTCTGACGGTGGGAGGTGTCGACCATCCTTCCCGCGGTTGATGAGGAGGAGCTAGCTACAGATGTTGACTGCTAACTAATGTGGACGAGCAAAAGTTGGGTGACACACATCTGAAACGCGGCTCATGAGTTGCCGCAGGGGAAGAAAGAAGGCACGACAGAGGTAACGGGAGTCTCTTGTGTTTTTATTTCTTTAATACGGACGCCTTGTCACGTTTTTATATCTTGTCGGGGGGAGGTTTATTTAGAGGTATGTGGCGGAATCGTCTCCACAACTGTTGCTACACGTCGGTCACATCCTAGCATGTACATCCACATCATGTATGTTCATCAGCAGCTGCTAGCTTCGTTAGCTTTGTGCAGCATGTAGAGCCGCCCTACAGCGAGTTTATTATAAATACCAGACAGATCGGTACCAGTGGTAGCTAGAAAAATTAAGTCAGAGTCGGAAAACGCGGTTTAATTGATTTCCCCTTCTTCCTTCTTTTCTGTGTGTCAGGCCACTGCTAGCGGGGCTATCTGTCCATCTGGCGCTAATCTTTGAACAGCGAGCGGTGATTTGGCGTGTGAACGGGATAACTGTGCGTCTTTCATGAATCACTGTGGCACAAGGGGGATAAATGAATCTAACACGTGGAGCTAACGTTTGAGACACAATGTGCTCACGAAGTGTCCACGTTTCATCCTCACATCCTCTGTGACTGATGTTATGACGAATCCTGACCGCAGAGGAGTGTGTGTTTCTCGCGGGAGCGCGCGGCTAAAAGCTACAACTACCCTCCATTGTGCTGATCCTGAAACCAAAGTAAACGGTTAATTCCTCTTTTTTGGGTTTCATCAGTAGTTACACATTGCCGAGAGTCACAAGTGTTTTATGAGGCTCACTAAAAAAAAGTGCTTCCCTGATGCGATTGGAATTTGCAAGCTCCTCTTCAACAATCGCTCAGTATTTCTAAAGGAGAACTCTTCAGTTCTCTTCATGTGTTATAATATTTTCAGACAGTTCACTTAAGCTTGCTAAAGAGGTGTGGCTTTTATGATGCGTAAAATTACTGCACAGTAGTACACATTCCACCTCCCCACACTTAGCAATCAAATGCAGCCATCAGTACATGATGTGTTTTTGGCATTACTGTGTTCTACCTGCATCTCTTCCGTGTTCTGACAAACAAGGTGATAATACACCTGTGCTAAATACTGCAGCCACTTTCTGCAGTATTCTGTTTCTGGACATCTATGAATCAGATATTTTTATCAGCACGCCTCTTGGCTTCACCATGTGAATTTCATACATGTAATAATGACATAAGCTGACACAATATGGGATGATTAGTCTAGCTTCAACCATTGTTAAATTATGCATGATCATCTTAACACACAGTAAAAGTACTTTAATTGAGCAGCACATATTTAGCTTTAACTTGGAGTGGATTTGACCCTCAGAGTTCATTTGAAAATGACTGATTTAGATAACATTTTAGTGAACTGCCATGATTAAAACCATTGGGAGAAATACTGAGATTTTATTCAAGAAAACTATGCAAAGGTGGCTCGGTGGTTAGCATCGTTGCCTCGCAGCAAGAAGGTTGCGGGTTCGCGTCCCGGTGAGGACACCCAGGATTCTGCATGGAGTTTGCATGTTCTCCCCGTGGTTCATCTCCGGGTTCTCCAGCTTCCTCCCATGAAGTCCAAAAACATGTTGAGGTTCATTGGTGATTCTAAATTGTCCGTAGGTGTGAATGTGAGTGTGCTTGGTTGTCTGTCTCTAAGTGTAGCCCTGTGATAGACTGTTGACCTGTCCAGGGTGTCCCCTGCCTTCACCCTGAGTCAGCTGGGATAGACTCCAGCCCCCCGCGACTCTAGTGAGGATTAAGCGGTGTATAGATAATGGATGGATGGTTGTACTTCAGTAAAGTGTTACAGTGTCTTATATTTTTTGCCTTAGCTGTGTGTGCTGTCCTGAGGGGCTTGCAGGTCTCGACAGGCAGACGTGATTTAACATAATACTGCACGGTTAGTTCTTTAAGTAGAGACATATGATAGGAAGCAGACACTTTGCATGTACTTACTTGTAGTGTTAACAGTAAAGTTTTAATTCCTCGATAGTTTAATGAACTTAAACATCTGTTTCTCTCATAAACACGGCAAATTAATAGCAAATGCGGCTATTGTGCAGAGCATAATCATTTCCTCTGCAGATGCCTTTTGAGCTTGTGAACAAGTGTGTATTAGCTGCAGACATATTGGCTTAAGGATGCAGAACAGATGCCAGCATAATTTCATTGATCTAATAATGGGACACATGGCGCCTGTCTTTCACAGAGCAGTTGCTACTGTCTTTTTGTAGTGATGGTCATAGCTGTTAATATTTTGCTCTAAATTATGGTTTTGCTTATGAAAGGAGTGTTTTTCTGCATTGGACAGATTTTTTTTTCAAACTTACCAGATTTGTATGTGCGGTCTATTTAGTCTCTAGTTCTCAGCATCAGTCATTAATGTTACCAGCTGCAAAAACACCACATCCGACAGAGAAAAACAAAGACATCTTTCTTTTCTTTGTGTCTTGTTATTTATGAAGCGACTCAAGTAGTAAATTAGGTCAGTGTCAGTAGATGAATCGAGGTAATTATGGGAAACCATTCACTGAATGAATTACTGAACTAAATTACTTAAATTGAGTCAATTGTCCAATTACTGTTGTGCATGTTTACGTGACTGACTGGAAGTTGGACAACTGTGACATTTAAGGTCAAACTACTCTGAAAGTTGTGCTTTTGGCCCTTCCCAGATTTGTCAGTAGCCATCCTAGCCAATTCTAGTTTTATTAAAATTCTCTTCATCTGACTGACACCTCAGAAAACTGGCACGTTGGTGAACCTGGCAACCAGAAAGACTTGTTTAAAAAGGCGAGAGAATTCCTTTCACTGCTCAGACAGTTTGGAAATTGAAATCAGAAACACTGGAGAGGTACTCCACAGTGTCAGCACTGGCATCATTCCTAACCATTACCTGTGGACGCCACATTTTCCAGCTCGAACAGAAGACCGTTGAAACAAATTACTGGCATCGTTTTCAATTCACCTGTGAAAAGAAGAAATACGAGGAGGCACTGATGGCCGCAGAGATCCGCTTCAAAAACACAAAGAAGACATGATGTTCAGAAAACTGGAATGGCTCAGGAAACACTTTAGCCAGGCCTGTTTGTCACACTGGCCCTTTCTACTGTCTTAAACTGGTTGCTTTCACATGAATGAGGCTATTGTTGCATGTTAACAAATGAGCTGATGTGTTCAGCTCAGCGTTTCAGAAATACACCGATTCTGAATGTTTCAAATGGTTTCTGCAGTATTGATATACAGATAACAGCTTCCTCTCTCTCTTCTCTCTGATATTGAGCTGACCACACACACTGCAGTTTCTCCACAACCCCCTCCTCTCGGTCACGCTGCCGTCTCGTTTCGTCATTCGTCTCCTTCTTTCAGGTTGAACAGCATTTTTGTGATGGTCAGATATGTGTGCAGGACCTACACTGACGGTTTTGAGGGATTAGAATAACGCCAGGAGTGCTGTTTGGAGATATTTTGGACTGTTTGAATTTGTGCTAGTGTTTTTTTTTTTTTTTTTCTTGGAGAAACATGTAGGTGTTTGGAAGAAACTTCAGGCTGTGATAATGGGTCTCTGCAGAGCATGTCTGTATGTCGCCTATACGAATATTAGCTGCCTGTGTTACTTGAAAATGCATACGGTTGCTTCTTATTTAACTAAATATACTGACATATATTTCCAGTTAGACTAATCTAGTTACAGATCATGTAATTGTACAAGGCCATTAAAGAATCATATTCTGTGTTTCTATTCGGCTTAAAGGGTGACTTTGAAAAGCCAGCAGTGTTTTTCCATTGCTGCACCTGATGATAACCCCTCATTACACAACGAGCACATTTAGTGACATTTTTGGCACAAAAAGTTTCCTTCCACTTCATATCGCTATCCTCAAAATGGAAAATCAAGTCTTTTTGTTGACCTAGTGGCCTATTTTTTTTTCTTGTCGTCATACTGTTTCACGATGATTGTGCATCTGCTTCCAAAAAGCACATGTTTGGTTAGTAAAGGTTAAATTGACCCTGTGTGTAATGGCTATTTGTGAGTGATGCCTCACAGTAATTCAACCATCGGGTCAGTAAAGGTGGCATGTGTGGCTTGTGTGAAGAGTAAATACCACGTAGGTGTCAATAGCCTCATTTTGCCTTGTTTCTTTCACTGGACAACTTGACGGCTATTTTATTTGATTGTTTGACCAGTACTGGCTTTTTCATGGCAACGTGTTAACTGCAAGTAGTTTTCTGTATCTACTAGGTGGTGGTTGTGTAGCATCGTTGTGCAATGTCATTAAAAAGACTGTGCGTATGCATTGCAGAACTTGAGCACTCTAGAAGCAGTTAATGCATAGAAGACCTGGTTAGCCTGTATTACAGCCTGGCTGTCAAATGGCTGCTACTTGTGTTTGATTTGATGTCTTTGCCTTCAGGCACGTCTGTGTTTGAGAAGCAGAGAGTGGTTTTCAGTTTGCTCAAATAACCTTCAGCATTAAATTAAAAGCACTGGACTTAACAGCGTCATAATTGCAACTGATAAAATAAATGAAGTTGAAGATACATTAATCATGATTTTTGGACATTTAAATGCAAAGTCCTAACCTGTGATAGTATTTGTAATCATGTTTGTGTTTCTGCGATTTGATCTATCTTGTTGTAAAACTGAAATCAGGCTGTTTTACTGTGAGTTTGTGTTTTCTGTAGCCGGCTTGTTGACGCAAAGCCCCTCATAAATCTAGAAAGGTATTGATTTAATCCATCCACACACTCCTTCATTTATTTGCGGCTATCTTGTTGGCCTCTAGCTGTTCCTTAGGCGATGATGGAAAAATAGGATTGTTTTTGTGTTTTTCTGTTTTCCAAGTGCCTGATAGTCTGTGAGAATGTGAAGGAGTTCTTGGAGAGATACGCTGCTGGTGCAGAAGGTTATAGTCCTGCCACAGAGTGATGAATAAGAGGGAAATTACTGATACACTCCCATGCAAGATGAAAGAAGAACATTGTGACCTTGGGCTTTTTATTAATGTGCAATAACCGTTCTATGTGCAGTAATCCAAATGGTAGTATTATCATTATGCTGTATGTAAATGTACAATGTATATTTATTTTTATTGTTTCCATATATTTTATTTCATATTAATACTTATGTTTGTATTTTTATTATATATTTTTACTTCCCTACTTCTTTTAAGACTTTTGATTGGGAGCATCTGTAACAGAAAGCTATTCCTCCCCCAAAGGATCAAGACCTTGGACTTTAATGATGACTTTATGATTCTGATTCTGTGCTCCCATGACAAAACAAACTGTCCAGAACAGAGGGAACCTGCCCCTCCTTAGGTAGCGTGATAAGAAGAATATAAATACCCACAGTCCTTTTACTCAGGGAGCTCCTCTCCTCCAGCCCTGTGTTGTGTGAGATTCTGTGAACTGCCGGATAAAGAGATGCTGACTTCAAGACCGTCGTTTTGAGAGTTGATTCTTCTGCACCCACAGGCGACATAGTGGTGTATGCCGATGACATACTGAGTCAGAATTACTTACTAATGTTCTGTCAGGAAAACTACTGAAATGTGTAAAGCACTTCTGTGAGACTCTGTGTCCTTGTTTTTCTTACAGATTATCCCAGTCGAGAAGTACACCTTGGATTGAACGGCTGTTTGAGACTGGCTTAGTTTTAGCCTTCCAGTGACACCCAACCCCCTCTTCCTCTTTTGTTAGGCTCTCACTTTCCCCAGTAGTGCATTGTTCTGTTCTTTCACCTCGTCCCAGTGTCTTTTTCATTCCCCGTCAATTTCCTGTTGACTCTTCTGGACTGAGCCTAAAGGCTGTAAACTCTTCAGAATGGTTGCTGATGTAGACACAGCATCTCAGGGCAGCGGTATGCGGCTGAAGCAGGAGATTTCCCTCCTTCATGGAGTTTGTCTCATTGTGGGAAATATGATCGGCTCTGGCATCTTCGTCTCACCTAAGGTAGGCGTTTCTCCTTTTTTAGGGCATTTGTGCTTGTTTATTGTTTGTTCTTTTCAGGTCAACGTAATGAAAATAATTCTGTCCTGTTTTGACTTTGATTGTAAAATGTATACCTATTTAACTGAAGCTTGTTGTTAAGGGTTTGTCATGGGGCAGTTTGGAGTTAACACTAGGGTTGGGTAGTCTTCTACATTTTCATGTCGTCATTGTGTGAAGTCACAGGCCTTAGTGCTATTGTTTGGTCTGCACAAGAATTTAAATGACAGCTCTCTTACTATCCCAAACAAACACGTTGTCATGGCTTTAAAAGATAAAAACAAATGTATGTGCACAATATGCGTCTTATTCTACACATTATGTTTGAACCATCTATTGATTTCAAATCAAAATCACAATTTAAATAGTCCAGTGAGCAAATCACAAAGGCTGCAATTCACGTATATATATCATGTTAAAGTTTCTGACCAAGGGTTTATTTTTTATTTTTTTTTATTATAACTACATTATTAAACTTGATTGTTTCTTAGATGCAGCTTTTGTTGCTATTATTTTGTGTCTTATGTCATTTTAAAAATGTAGAAATACATGTTGCAGCAATTGATAACTAAGTTCTCGTCTTTGCATTAGAATATATAGCAGGTAATAGTTTGGTGTCTGATGTGCTAATGATCAATCCCATGTTTTAAATCTATTGTTTAATAAATATTGAGCTTTTAAACAAAGATATTTCAAATTGCAAATATTTGTGAAGAATCACCGTGATATATTTTCATCAAATCCTTCAGTCCTACTATATACATACAGTTTACTGATTCTCTGCTGTCCTTTGTTCTCCTGCAGGGAGTTCTTATGTACACCGGCTCGTATGGCCTGTCCCTGGTAGTGTGGGCCATCGGAGGGGTATTTTCTGTGTTTGGGGCATTATGCTATGCTGAACTCGGTACGACCATTCGAAAATCTGGAGCCTCCTACGCCTACATCCTGGAATCTTTTGGAGGCTTTGTGGCTTTTATTCGGTATGTAGTTTATTGTTTTATATGGCACACAATAGAGTTCATACACTTGCACAACAGATTCTTTCTTTTCTCTACCTACAATCAATGCGATACCTGTGATATAATATTCAGATGTGTGGATTCCTCTGTAGACTCTGGACGTCCCTGTTGATCGTAGAACCAGCCTGTCAGGCAGTGATAGCCCTGACCTTCTCCAACTACCTGGTCCAGCCCTTCTACCCCACCTGTGTAGCGCCCTACCATGCCGTCCGCCTCATCGCAGCTGTCATCATATGTAAGGCTCTCTCTATGCTAAACACACATGCATGCTTTACTCAGCGTATTGTCTTTATGTATATGCGAGTGCTGAAAAGACATGGGTGAGCTAGTAGAGGTCGTGTGTACTTACTGGACACCTGGGTATATATTGTTTATGTTGTGTAATGTCAGTGGAGTCTCACTGTGAAGCTGTTGTGGCCAAAATGTTGAGACACGATTAAAGCAACAGGGCACCACATACAATCCATCTGTTTAATAACACACAAGGGCTGTGTTTTCATTACTCGCTCTGCATGTATATGAATAATTTAAACTGCCTGCATAATGATATAGTAGAAAACTATTCTTTTAATGGCATGTTCTTTCCAACTACTTGAACACCTCTAATTGAATACAAAAATTTTGTTAGAAAAATGTCTTGGTTTGGTTTTGAACACAAACCAAAGCAGCCTTGCTATTACTTTAAGATGTCATGAAAGCCCCAGGTTCATATAGAGTTGTTCACTGTTACAGTTGTGTGTAGGGATGTGTATCACACCCTGGTATTAAATGTGCCCAATGGCTAGATTATGAAACACTGGAGGAACAGTAAGTTCTGACATTAATGCTTCTGCTATCAGTACCTTAGAAATTAGGAATCTAAATTAGGATCTTGCACGTTTTATCTAACCAGCTTTCTTTCTAATTTGCAATGAGATGAAGACATTTCACCTATGATGCATTTCTGCTTTTCCAAACCTCTGACAGCCTTCTCTCTGTCACATGCTGGAGCCCCTTAAAGCACATCGGCAATGCTCTCAATGACGACAGCAGCGAGAAGTGTTGTTGACGTGTTGTTAAACCTCACTATAATTGATGTAGGCACTGCTCTCTGCTGCAAGTCTAACAAGTTGGTTGGATGCAAAGGGGGTAAAGACCAGCAGTCTGTTGAAACATGTCGCAAAAGGTCAAAACATAGATGTGGAGAAACGTAAAGGTTAAGGTAAAGTTCACCTCTTGCTAACCCAGGTGCATTGTACATATGAGCAGGCCACATGAAGAGTTAACTAAAATATAGGAACATGGGTTAATGATTGAAAGTTGCTATGAGCCAGCTGATTGTTTAACTGTGGCTGCATTCATAAATTCAGTTTGAAATGATCAGAGCATCGTCTGAACGGCCGTGCAGAAAGTCAGCTTCAGAGCACTCAGAGCAGGTGGGATTAAATTATTTGGGGGACATTGTCACCATTTGTCACAAATACTCCTCAAGCCTCCTTCACCCTGAGTATGAGGGTATTTTCAACTGGAGAAAATCTCTCTTTAGAAGAAAAATGAGGTCTTTAGCAGCCTCCCTATGTGACTGCTCTGGTTTTACTAGTTTCTACTCCAGTCTAGCGAATAACAGATTTCATTTGTTGTACGTTCTAATCATCACAACATCGGTATCTGTAAAGTGATGGCTTCAAAAGGTTGCTGTTTATTTTGCTGAAAAGAACGATTTTATTACACATTCCAAAGGATTCAAAAGCAAAAGATGCAGCAATAGACAACATCTTACTGCAGTGGAATTCTTAGTTTGTTGTGTCCCTGTCTAGTGTCCTGATTATCGTATTTACAAAATTCACTCGTTCACCACACAAGTCACTCATATTAACTCATATATACTCTGGTAACACATATGAATGTGTAACAACAGTGCCAAAGGTCTACGTACAGAAAACAGTTAAACATAAGGCATGTGAATTAGTTGATGTTGCAGAAAAGTTTGGATCTACTCATAATTACTGAGGTAGGCAAAGTTGAATATGCAATGTGTAGTCCTCAAAGGGCATGTGCAGAGGAACAATGTAAAGGAAAAAAAAAAGACTGCAGTGTTTATGTAGCAAAGGTCAACATGTGCAAAAATATACAGTTGTGCAAGATTGCGTCAAGTCTTTTGGCCTATGATGTCAGAAGGGGGAAGGGAGGGATGGGGCAGAGGTTTGGAAGTGTTCATCAGTTTTATTGCCCCGAGATAGAAACTGTCCTCGAATCTTGAGGTTCTGCATTTCAGACTCCTGTGGCGTCTGCCAGACAGCAGGAGTGTGAGGAGGTGGTGATGTGGGGGGAAGCTGCAGAGGAGTGATAGTGGCAGTTGAAATTTCCTCAGCCTGCTCAGGAAGTACAAACGGCTTTCCTGATCAGCGGGGTGATGTGGTGGGGTCTGATAAAGTCCTCACTGAGCCACGAGGAACCCAAAGTTACTGAACCTGTTCACCTCAGAACAACTGATACACAGCGAGTGGTGGGGTTGACGGCTCCTCTCCTTTCTCAGATTCATCAACAGTGGTTGCTTTTCAACATACCCCAGGTTTTAACGGATTTGGGGAAACCTGCCTTTTCCTGCTATGGCCCATGGGCTTGGAATAATCTGCAGAAAGATCTCAGATTAGAAACACTCATATCAATTAATAAATGTAAGGGCATCATAAAGAATGTGGTGACGGAGATGTGATTGTTTTTCTATGTTTTAACAGTTGTTCCTGTTTTATTTGTATTTATTGCATCTTAATATGCTGTGATTGACTGCTACTGTGGCCGGGTCTCTCTTGTAAAAGAGCTTTTGAATCTCAGTGGGACTTCCTGCTTAAAAAAAAAGAAAAATAAATCAGCAGTTGTTTTGACACCACAGCACAAGGTTTTCTACCCTCCTGCGGTAGGCTGCCGTGGTGCTGCTTTAGATGAAGACCACATCTGTTGTGAAAATGCAACTACTCTCTTTTTTTGCAGTCCATAGTTATGGGTATACAGTGTGTACAGCATGAGTGTACAACCTTGGGGGGTGTCTGTGGTCATGGAGTGTCTTGGTTAGGATATTTTGCTAAGCTGCAGTCCACAAACAGCGCTTAGATGTAGGTGTCCTTGTTTTCCAGATGGGAGAGGCCAGTGTAGACAGCAGTACACATGATGTCCTCTGCAGATCTGATAGGCTGTAATTGTGGTTTGATGTGTTCCAGTATAATCTTCTCGAAGCGCTTCAGTTATGACATTGTGGTCTATAACAGTGATTTGTTCACAACAGTGCTGTTGCAGAGTGCAAGAATGTTCATTTAGACACAGTACATATAGGAAATTAAAGCAGCCTTATTTCTGTTCTTGATTTGTTTTTGTGTTTTTTTTCTCTTGAAGAAGTAACAGAGTACAACCAGATCAATAAGCAGTATCAGTAAGAGTAGTAGGTACTGTTAACATGTTAATATTAGCCATCCCATGCATGATACTTGTTTTCCATCGTACCCTTGTGAGGATGGATTCAGTTAAGAGGATTTTTTAATACAAGTTTTTAATCCATGTCTTCCTCTTGTGCAGAGAGGAACAGTGTAGGAGAAGCTCTCACAGTAGCTGAAATGGATAATTCCAGGGAACACATTGTTAAAACAGTCTCTGTAGATACTGTGCACAACGCTACTGGAACATTAAACCATGTCTGCTGCATTACAGATAAAGACTCAAGTATTGAGCCTTGGGGGCTTCTCAAACTGTTTAATCTAGTTTTTCATCGCATTTACTCAACTGTGTGTGTAACTACACTTTATACCTGTTGATTTTCTCTTAATTCTACCTTAAGGTTATTCTGCTTGGAAAAGCTCAAGCTTTGTGATCCTACTAAATCCAGGACATTTAAGAAGAATAAAGGCAGCGTAAATGCAGCCATTCAACCTTAAACCTGTTGGGCTGGTTTAGACAACTACATGTGTCGTGCATTGAGTTCAAAGAGACACTGGGAGTGTGTGAGTGAGTCGGGTGTCAACAAATTACTGCTAACTGACAGATGGAAATACTTAAACCAGGTGTAAAAGAACCACCTACAACACTTTGGATCAGTAGGTTGTGCTTTTACCGTTTCGCAAACAGTTTAAAACTTATTCTTCAAGTTAATAAACATCTTTATTCACCCAGTGCTAAAATGGTCAGAATGTTATGTATGTCCAAGTCGTCTTTTTACTGAGTTGATTAGAGAAATAAATAAGAATGTTGCAGAAATAAACTAGGCAAGCCATATTTTTGTCTTGATTCTGAATGTCAGCCCCTCTTAGCCACTCTTCTGTCCATCATTCTGTCTCTTATCATATAGACTTTATTCAACTCATCTGCTGTTCTCTTCTTTCTTTCCATCAGGTCTGCTGACTGTTGTGAACTGTATGAAAGTGAAATGGGGTGCCATTCTTCAGGTTATCTCCACTGTAGCCAAGGTCCTCGCTCTCATCGTCATCATCATTGCTGGACTTGTTAAGCTTGGACAAGGTATGATGTCCTCGATCACGATGTGTCTTCTTGCATATAAAAAAAATACCATATGGGGCCGCTGCTATAGCTCACCTGGTTGAGCTGGCGACCCATGTACAGGGGCTATAGTCCCCAATGCAGCGGCCATGGGTTCGAATCCCACTCATTGCCCTTCGCTGCAGGTCCTTCCCCCATTCTCCTCCCCCACTTTCCTGTCTCTCTCTTCACTGTCCTATATAATAAAGGCAAAAAGGGCAAAAAATTAACTTAAAAAACAAAACACCATTTGGACAAAAAAAAAAGGAGGGATTTAATACTAGCATGTATCTGCTGTACAAATTATTATAGATTAGTACAAGTTATTCGCATTCTTATGTTAGTAATATTTTGACTGTGTTTGGTACGTTGCCTCATATCAAAAATACACAACAGTGAGATCATATATCCAGAAACTATTTTTACCACTTGAGTTTTGAAAACTGCTTTCAGTTTTACGATTTTGTGCAGTGAATAACTTAAATCATGTCTTATATTCTCTATTTTGCCCGAGATGATGAAAGCTAAAACACATCTCTTGTTTGCTGATTTGTTGGTGTAGGTTTTGACCAGAACTTTGAGAACTCCTTCAAAGGCTCCAAGGCGAATCCTGGTGATATGGCCTTGGCTCTCTACTCGGCACTTTACTCTTATTCGGGCTGGGATACGCTCAACTTCATTACAGAGGAGATCAAGAACCCGGAGAGGTATTTCAGACAAAGAGTGTGATTTTTTATTCCTGGTCTTGCTTTACATCACCAAATAACTTGTCACCGACCATAAAATCAAGCATTGCATAAATCTCACATAAAAATAAACCACTTTCCTTATTTTCCTTTGTAGGAATCTGCCCTTGTCCATTGCTATTTCCATGCCCATTGTCACAGTGATCTACATCTTGACAAATATCGCTTACTACGTTGTCATGGATGCAGACAAAGTGCTGAACAGTGAAGCTGTTGCTGTGGTGAGTATCTGAAGTTAGTCAAATAAGTGCAATCTCCTGGGGCACAGGAGGCAGGCAGCAACCTGCTGGACTGTCTGACCTTGTGCACAATAATGTCTCTGCATAAACTTTATCAGTTATCTAAATTTTTAGCATCTGCTGAGCCTCATAGGGGCAGCGGGTTGGAATGATTCCATCTTGTCTTCCCTGTCATCTCTTTGAGTCTGGCTGGCAGCCATTGCCACCAGCATCTGGTTTTGGTACTGACTTTTATGACTGTAAGAGCTGAGATGACAGGAACCTCATTTAGCTAACGAGGTTCCACACAGGAACAGGGAGAGTTGATGATGCGATTAGTGCATTGAAGGAGGAACAGTTGTACGTAAGCTTGTTGTCAGTGGTATTTGATAATCGTTTGTTTTTTATGAGAGAATTCATTCTAATGGTTTGTTAATGTTCTGTCAATAAGCCAGAGGCTGTGCTCTGTCTTGAAATTAAGCTGAGAGACACAGCAAATAGTTAATAATTGGATTTGTGAGTTTTTTTGGAGAGTGTAAATGTCGAGCCAGAACCAGATTCTTATGTATATGTGCACCTACGCCTGTACAGCTGCTATAATCTACAATAACTGTATTGAAAATTCCATATTTTTCCTATTATCGATTGGTTAATTTATGTATTTTTTATTACCCTAATGCACAACTGTCAGAAATTAAATGCTGAGTTTACATGTGGCTTGCAGAAGTTCTTCAAAAGGAAGGAAAAGGAGTTTCAGTGGGTGTTTTCGGTACTACGCTGACTTTTTTTAAGTCAGAAACATGAAGTAAGCATGTGCAGGTGTTTAGATAGTCAGATTAGCTGGTAGTCACATTAGTTGTAATATCTTCTCATTATTGGCACACATCTGCACCTAAAAATCTCATTAGCACTAAAGCTAAAATGAGTCTAATCTTACCACTGAGTGAATGTGAGTGATAAGCACTTTGCTGAATGTCTCCTCAGACGTTTGCTGACGAGGTGCTCGGCTGGGCTCGGTGGCTCATCCCTCTGTCTGTGGCTATTTCCTGCTATGGAGGCCTCAATTCCTCAATCATTGCTGCCTCACGGTCAGTAAACACACTTCAAGCTTCACTACTCCATTGCAGCTATTTTTTGATTTCCTGTTTACATCACAAGCATGTAGTGTTTGAATAATGTCAACAAACCAGTTTCAGTCCAACAACATGGTGCTCTTGTTCATCTTTGCAACGTTTTTCTCCTGCAGGCTGTTTTTTGTTGGTTCCAGAGAAGGCCACCTACCTAATGTCCTGTGCATGATCCACATTAAGCGCTTCACCCCAATTCCTGCCCTGCTTTTCAATGTTAGTATCACAATATTTAAGCGGGTTTGGAAATGAAACTATGTATTTGCTCGGTTTGTTCACAGTTGGATGCTTTTGTCTGTTGTGCAGATTGGTATCAGACTAAATTGTGTATGTGTGTGTGTGTGTGTGTGTTTGGTCTTCCTCTCCCAGGGCGCCATGTCTCTGTTGTACCTGTCCGTGCCAGATGTTTTCCAGTTGATCAACTACTTCAGTTTCAATTACTGGTTGTTTATCGGCCTGTCGATAGCCAGCCAAATCTACCTTCGCTTCAAAGCTCCTGATCTGCACCGACCTGTGAAGGTAGTAAAATTTATGCAGGATGAACATTGGCATGCATATATGAGGGCCGCAGTGACTCTGCCTCACAGACATGCGTTATCACCTGTATCAGTATATCGGTCTGGTGTGAAACATGCACCGATATGAAATTTAGTTTTGCCAGGGAACTGCTTTGACAAATGTAGCTACTGTAGTGTAGTTTCCATGGCCTGTGTCATTATGAATTATGTCTTTGTACAACACCTTATAACTTCTGCTTTCCATTTGGAAACTGTGTTGTATAGTTTTATTTCTAACATACGGGAAGCACATGAATGTAAATGAATGTCGTGTGAAATGGGTGTCACTGGCCATAGGCTATAATTAACAACTACTAATGGCAATTTTTAGAGCATTGGTTCACCAATGTGTTCATAAATTAAACAGTCAGCCTTCATGCTGCAAAGGTTTTATGACACTTAAAAATATAAGTGTGCCTCTTCATGCTGTTAGATGGATACATGCTGAGTCAACAAGGACTGAAGAGCTTGTATAATCACGTTTGTTTTATTCAGGTACACCTCCCATAAGATGCTGTTTTATAGTTTAGTAAAAAAAACTAAAAGAGCAACTCCCATAAGTGAATGAGGTGCTGTCTGTGGTCTCTGAAGCATGTTAGACCTTTATTTACACTCTGCCTGTGTGTCAACTGTACCCACATTGCATGTCTGACTACTCAGCAGCAGCTTCACTCATGAGCTGTGACAAGGCTGAAAGCCTCTGATGTTATTAGTCGCCATGAATGTGACTCCACAGCGTTCTGGTGGAGAAATTTTCAGGCAGTTAGAATCACAATTAAGTCATCAGAAACGCGTAGTTATCCTGATAATATTAATATGAAAATGTTCATTTAATTGTGTAAACTTCCTTCGTTAATTTGCAAACTCATCCTTCTTTTCTACTTCCTCTTTGTCCCTGTTTTTCTTGTTTTGTCCTCCTCCTCCGCCTTTCTACTCTCCACACCCTGCAGCTCTCTTTGTTCTTCCCAATAGTCTACTGCCTGTGCAGCTTATTCCTGGTGGTGGTGCCCCTCTACAGCGACACCATCAACTCTCTAGTGGGAATTGCTGTGGCATTGTCTGGGGCACCCGTCTACTACATTTGTATCCACCTGCCGCCGAGCTCCAGACCCGCCTTCCTTGGCAAAATGCTCAGTAAGTCACACTGCATTGCTTGTCGTAGCAGCGGTTTTGATGAACTTAAAAACTCCCCCTTAGATAGTCTTAAAATAGACTTCTTTCAGAACACTATTTTGCTTCATCCAGTTCCCTTTTAATGTTGGATTATTTCCAATATAGCGTCTACTTGTTTGTTTCATGATGTCCCCTCTGTTTATATGCAATGTTAACAAGATGCAGGCTGTGTTTTTATCTTTTGGTTTAGCAGAGAATTCATGATTCTTAAACCATAGATACAGAAACCCTATGTGATTTTCCATAGATTGTATGATGGATTTAATGTACAAAGAGCAGATTGTTATCCACACATACAGCAGCCCGGTTGGTTAAACTGGTCTAGACTGTAAGAGGCTTCACTGTGTTTTGATTTGAAAAATGTATAGACTTACAGAGTAACAGGATTGATGTAAACAATAACAGTCTAAGTCGTGGGATGTGGCTGTCGAGTTTCTCTGTGAATGAATGTGGACGTGTGATGTTATTATGAATACATTTTTTAAAGTAGCTTATTAGTCTTAAATGTCACATAGACCAGCCACTGTTGACACAAATGAAAATGCCTTGTGTGAGCGTTATGAGATGAAGAGGGATTAAGATCAGAGCTTTTCCTTTCTCAGAATTTGCCTTTGGCGGGTGACAACACATGACCACACATGACAGTAAGCATGAGCGGTCCGTGTACAGTCAAGGCACTGAGTCTGTGTCACATTACTTGACAGAAATCTGTATATTTTCTTGTCCTTTCTGACCATTTGATAAAGACAGTGTCTACTAAGCTCAAGTAAATATAACCCAAGTTACCCGAAACTGTTAAATTATTTTAAATTTCATTGTTTTATTGAATTCTTATCATTTGTGGTTTTTCTTTGGTTTCGGCTTAAACCTCATTAGGAGGCACCAAAAATTCCTCTATGCAGAAAAAAAATCCTGATTTAGATTATTGTTTCAAAGTTCATTTTACTGTAAAGCCCACATACTGTACCGGGTTCCACAGTACAGAGACATGTGTTGGTAAAGCCTTGGAGCTGAGGAGTACTCCCTCCTAATACCACTGACATTATGCTAAATGGTTTGAACAAGTAAAGCTTTAGGCTGTTTGGTCTAAAACCAACACCAGTATTTGTTCAAAGCCTTAATTTCCCATATTTTCAGAGATGATCTTTTGAGAGCTAACATTGATTTTTCTTTTCTTTTTTTCTCTGTCACTGCAGATCAGCTCTCTCTGTCCACCCAAAAACTGTGCATGTGTTGTGTGGCCTCACCGGATATTGATTTGGACAACATAGACCCAGAAAAGATCGAATGATGGAGCAACAAAGGATTCGGGTTGAAGCGCTGTATGGAGGGATGAAATAGGATGACTTTACAGATAGAAGAAGCTTTGAGCTGCAGACAATCAGGATTTGGATGAGTATTGCTTGAACGATTAAAGGAACAAGGACGGAAGAAAGGGGGAGATGAGCACAATACACTTTGTGCCTGCCTCTTCTCCCACATTTGCCATAGCGAATAAAGGAGCGGGATTTTACTTTGAATATATTGAAACTGTGCCCACTGTAACCTTCCAACAAACAGCACTCTGCAGACACACTCTTGTGCACACTGTCGTGCACACTCACATGTTGGTACATGATGCAGTGTTGACTGTGTTTCCTCCACATGTGCCCCCACACTGCAACTCACACATGCTCACAAACTGTTTACAGCTCTGAGTTTTGAGTTTAGACGTTATCTGTTCAGTATGGCAGCAACAAAGCTGAGTCTGCAAACGCTGGTTTTGGACTCGCTCACAGACCTCAAAGAACAGCTACAATTTTGCACATCTTGCATTTTCTGTTATATACCTAGGTTATACGAGGTACGATCAAAAGGTTTTGGGACTGTGCCTATAAATGAATCAACAACTGTACCTTATTTACATTTGTCTGCTATCTAGGTGTACTCCTGGTGCAGTCATACGCTGCTCCCAGTGCTCCTGCTTCACTAATTATAAGGTTCAATGGAAGTTTTGCAAACGTCAGGTACCATCTGCAATGAGTGCTGAATCTCCCAAGCGGGGTCAAAATGACGATCCTTTAACTTGAATTATATTTTGGGGAGGAGGAAGAAGTCACAGAGAGCCAAATTGAGTGACCAGGCTGAGTGGAGAGCGATCATTGTGTTGTGTTGTGAGCGCTAAGCGAGCAGCCTCATGCCGTCGCACTTCACATCTTTTGCACCAAACACTCGCCCTCAGACACCTCAGGGTGTCAGAGTAGAACCCTCCTCTGACAGTCTGACCATGGGGGACTAATTATCTGAATATTAAAACAAACAAGCTTCTCTCCGGTGCGCTCCTGACCCAATGCAGCTTGTCCCATCTTGGAGACTGTGGAATACGACATTTCTTCTCTCTCTGGTAGCTGCAGACCTCCTTCAGTCACCAGTGATGATCATTGACTCATCCTGGCTGCTCAAAAAACAAACAGGATGTATTCTTCTGATTTCTCACTTCTGATGTTGTCACATGGTCTCCTGACGTGTGAGTTACTGCTACACCCTGTGCACACGCCACCAACAGTCCCACAACCTTTTGACGGCACCACTTAGAAAGCTGTATTTTGCTCCGTTACTGAACTGAAGTACAGAAGGTACAGGTTTAGTTTTCTTTTTTTTCTTTTTTTTTTTAATTAACCATTTTTAAAGAAGGACAGCTGTTACTTCTTGCAGTTTTTTTGTATAAGATGTTAATCCAGTCTCTCGTTACGTGTCCGTTATCTTAGTTGAATAGTTTTACTGAAGAGAAGTTGTCCTGCTATAACAATGATCACACATCGGTTTCCTTTTGTGTCCTGCTTTCCGTCCATCTTCTGCATGTGAACTGTTTCCTCCCTCCAGCTAGATTCTTGGAGTGCATCTTCAGGGCGGTTTTTGGTTTCAGGTGCCTCCTAGTGGTAACTGAGATTATCTTCTGTTGACAAGCTACAAGGTTTTTCCAAGTGTCATCCGAGACTCTCTCCATAATGTATGTTTGTTTTTTAAGCCTTTGACTCCTCATCATCGCCTTGTTGTTTTTTCTTTTATTAATTTACAAACACCAGGAATGTTGAGAAGAATGAAAACTTAGAAGTTGTAGTTATAGAAAGAAACCCATTGTGATAGTTTCTGATCTCAGCTAATGCACCAGACAGGGACTCCTCTGGGCTCCGTTTTTCTTCTGAATGGGGACTTTTTGATGCCAACCTCAGGATCAACCATGCTGATGTGCACATGTTGTTACTGATGTTTATTATTCTTACTTTTTACCCGCTCTTGTCTTAAGAGTTTGTACCACAGATAGGATATTTAATGTATTGTTGCCTTTTTAATGTACCGCCAACTTTGGACGGACTGATAGTTGGACCATGTTTCTGCTCACAGTAGCGAGCTTGTAGCAAAGCTTCCTAATGATGAAATGATAGCTGTAGCGTGTAGAACTACAGGTAGAGCTGCGTCATACGTTGGGGTCTGTGTCGTACATGTTGTCCTCATGGATTTTTATGTGCCTTCTGTGAGTGTGGCGGTCAAAAGGTCTGATAATGTAACTCGGCTTTCGTGTAGAGCGTCTTGAGCACAATCGTCCACACATTGCTGTAGGTTTCGCCAAATGTCTTTTCAGGTCTTTTGTTGATAGAGTTTTCAAACTGATGTGGCCTCACCAGACATGTTGTGGAAGAAATCAGGCCTTACATTAAAAAAAAAAATCCTATTAAGTGTCTTTAGCACTTCTGCAACACCAGCTACTGGAAGCACACACACGTTTGTTTTATATACTCATTTGCTTTCTCTGGGATCAAACCATCAGTTAAACCAAACTAGTGTGTCGTGTGTGTGTGTGTGTGTTCTTAAGATGTAAACACAAAGACTGTTTTCAGTATATTGCTATAAATTGCCGTGTTATGAAGTTGTTATACTCTGAAAACACATTATGTGAATGTTGCAATATAATGCAAGTTAGTTTCATCATCGGTTACCAAATGTACGTTTCCTGGTTGTATTTGACAAAGTTGTGTTTTGTGTATTTGTAGAAATGTGTCTTCAAGTCCTTCATTTGTTCGTTGTTTTTATTTATTTGTTTTTGGGACAAACCAGATGGTGAGACACGCTCTTCATATGAGGAAGTCTGGAGCGTGTTGTGTATGTCGTCAGAATAAAGTGCAGTACAGAGTGTGAGTTGTACACACGAGTGACTTTGACTGTCCTTGTCTTCAATCCGACCTACAAACACAAAGCTCTGTTGTCCTGCCTGCTGCAGTGGGCAGCGCTCAGCCACTAGAGGTCATGAGCTCATAACCCTTCATGCAGCAAAACCTCAGCTTGTTCAGCAACACTTCATCTGTTGCCTTTAGGTTTCTGAATAGGTTGATACAAACTGGAGCTGCTGTTTCTGGAAATTATGGTCAAGATAAACAGAATTTTGGGCCCCCTGTAGCTCACCTGGTTGAGCGGGCGACCCATGAGCAGGGGCTGTAGTTCCCTGGCGCGGCGTTCGTGAGTTCGACTCCCGCTCACGACAGTTTGCTGCAAGGTCTCCCCCCTTTCCTGTCTCACTCTCTCACTGTCCTGACTAATAAAGGCAAAAAACATCAGAAAAATAATCTTTAAAAAAAAAAGAATAATAGAATTTTGAAACAGTTTGATCAACTCAAGGGTCAAGATTAACCCGCTTCTACCTGCTTCATCGTGATGCACCTGAACGCATCAGTGTTTCAGCAGCACTCTGACCCAGTGAGCCAGACGGGTTGATTTAGCTCCAGCTTCACAGCCACTTTGAAGCAACATCTGATCCCTTGAGGGGCAACTTAAAGCCCCTTTACCCCTTGTGATGTCCACTTTATTGTAGGTTCTGCAGACAGACCTTCTGCTTTCCACTTCACTGGATGCGTTTACATTCTTCCACCTGCTTGGCGATCTTTGCCCTCTTCTCATTTTAACATACAACACTCAATGAGCTTTTTATTTATTTTTATTTAACCTTTATTTCGAGGGAGCAGCAAATTTAAAAGCTTTCTTTCCCCGTTCAGTTCCAGCCTTAGGAACAGACAGTAGCAACAGATCCTGGGAGTGCAGACGGTAACCACTTGGAGCTTTTGTACAAATAAAAACCTGTAAATAACGAGGAAGCAGGCCTGAAGTACATTTATAAATTAAAATGTGCCAGTGTTTTTTCCTTCGTGTGGTCAAATCTGACCATCCAACACGAGAGTACGACAAATAATGACGTGTAAAATACTTGGTGATAAACCTTAAAGCGCCGTGATAAACTGAATTTAAAAGACTCAGGCTTTAAAGTGGAAGCATTCATATATACTGTATCTCCATAATCCAACACAGACATAAGAGTAGCAGCAACCAGTCTCTTTTTGGCCTCAGAGGACAGACAAGACTTGATTCTAAAGCTAAAACCCAGTTTCAATGTTAGTCTCTTTGCCCACTGCTGGATGTGAGCTATGAATCTTCATCGATTCAAATTCCATCTACACTGAGACACTATTTCAATCTGTACACGCTGAGACCAGGGGATCAGATCTGAGGATATGTTTGTTTTTTTTGCGTTTAATATCACAACATATCTTCAGGTTTTTGAGTGTCTTTACAAAAATAGGTCATTTGAATGTGCCAGTCACTGCTCTGGCTATAATTAGCTGGAGATTATTTTTGGGATATTTTACAGAAAATATCGACGTAAAAATAGCTCTCTGTCAGCCTCAAATAGAAAAAAACATGTTATCTTGCTACCTTTAATTCTGTATTTGTTGAAATCTTTCGAGTTTAGTCTATAATTACGTGGCACATTTTTCCAATGTGTATTTAGTGGATACATACAAACAGGTTATTGCAGTGCAACGTCTAGTCAAAAGCCTTTTTTCATCTCAATCTCTGTGATTTTATTGAAGCATTATCAGATGGTTCTAATGCAAAACTGCACTGCTTTTTTCTGTTGAATTGTGGAGATATTTTGCTTCTTTAACGTGCAGTTTTTTCAGACAAGTGAAAAGAAAATACTTAAAATATTAATAAATTGCCTTTACTTGTAGAGCACTTAAGGGTATAAAACAAAATGCTTTGCAGAACAGAAGGAATAAACAAACAAGAATAAGAACTCAGCCCCCCTTTATCCCTCCATGAGCATTTAGTTATAAATGAAGGACTCAATAGAACAACAGCTGAAACTCTATAATAAATAAATGCTAAAAGAAAAATGGTCAAAAATTCAGAACAGCAAAATAAGAATAATAAAAAGTGAGGATAAAGACATTAAAAGGTCAGTTTGATGAGTTTTCTTTCATATATTCACATTTAATATCACATTTGGGTGTTTATTACATTTTGTTTATTGGACATTTACACAAATTGTTGCATATTTACTGAGACAACACTTCATTTTATATATTTAAATGTGTAAAATTTCAGGAAACTTGTAGATTTTTTTCTGAGTAGTCAACTAAACTAAAGTTTCATGGTGATATCTATTAATGGCAAATTTTAGCCTTAAAATTTTTTATTTTTTGCTCGCCTTATGAAAGAGTGTTCTGAGTCTTAGCATTCAAATATATATATATATATATATATATATATTAATAGTGACAACATTAAAGGTAGAAAGTAGGCACTAGACTGTCTTTTGCAAACTACAAAAGAAAATCTTTAAGATGAAACGATTTTTTTTAGTGTGTTTATGACTTTGTAATGCGTTCATGAGCTCCACCACAAACTGTCTTGGCACGTCTGACCGTCCACCTTCCAGCCTCCTCAGGTAGCCGCCAAAGCTCCACCTCCTGTCCATCCGACCGCCTCGCCTCCCTGGAGAGGCGTCACATTTCACCGGGGTGTGCACTCTGGTGCTTCAGATGCTGCCCGTCGATAGGCGCTCTTTCCTGGGGAGAGGCCCGACTGTGTTCTTCCCCAGAACCGAGGGAGTTGGGTTCCACTGACTCATGCATAAAAGATAAAGCAGTGGAGGGGAAATGTAGCCGAGCACCACAGCAGCTTACTGTACCTGCTCCCTCCCACAGAGTGGAGGACGGGCTGCTGCTAAAGTCACATTTTTATGATTATTTTTTTGAAAAGCTCCAGGCTGCTAAGGTGTTTCCTGGCACTGCTGATGCCCTGGAGGGAGCATCTGTCCTGGGGATGGGCAGAAGAGGCAGAGTGCTGTTCTTCGATGGGTGAGTGGCCATTACACACTGGCACCTGCTTGGCATCATGGAGCTGCCTCGACGCCTGAACTGGATACGGAACCGACCCTGGAGGCCTCATGTCTGCCGCAGGGAGTTCAACCGTAAGTGCTGCTGCATGTGTGGGCTGAATGAGGGGATTAGGGGGATTTCACATTTCTCTTTTACGTGAGAACAACTGTCAACCATTCTGATCTTATATTATTTGGGCTTTTCCCCCTCACATTGCTCTAAGTGTCTCCTTTCTCAGGCTGCTTTTAATTGTCTAAGTGCTGCTGTAAACCTGAGAAGCTCCCAGCAAAGTCCGCTCTGTCTTGTCAAGTCAAGTGATGTAAGCGAGTGTCACAGAGAGTCAGCAGCTGCTGCTCCGAGGAAGAAATCATCATCGTGTGCTTCACGCTGTGTGACTCACAGACTCATTTATCTGCCGTTTGTGCTGATGCTTGATGACTTTACGCATAAATATATTGAACAGTTCTGCAAGTTTTGTGTTTTGAATTAGTCATGTGACTCGGTGAGTGGTTCTCTCTCCTCTTACGTCCCCCACGGTGGACTTCAGGTGTCAGATTAGATTGTTGATGCTGAGTAATGTGTTGTCCTGGAAAAGCCTCAGTCTGGCCAAATAGTGACGCAGCAACCTGTGAGCAGATTCATGGACATTAATTCAGTTCTAGACTAGAACTCTGTACTCAAGAATTAGGATCACACCTGGTCAGTGACATTTTATCAGGAAGACTTTTCAGATTATTGACAGTTTCAGTTATATGACAAACATTATTGGAGAGTTTTTAAATCACTTGTTTCTGCTGAAGTTTTATTTTTCTTCACAAAATCCCATCAGTGAAAGGAACTTGTCTGACACACGTTAAGAGCTGGTACTCAGCCAACACCCCAGTCTACTGGATTAGAGTCAACGGTGAATGTTTAATTGAAATGGCATCTCTGTCAATTGTGTTGGATCAGATTGTAGGAGTGAAATGGATGGAATGGATTACACATGTACCCATGTGGTCATGCCAAGTGAGTCTAGAGGTGCTTTGTTTACGCAACGTCCTGAAGACGAACTTTGCTCTTTTTTCTGCCTTTTTTAAACTCTTATTAGAGATGGATGGAAATGTGTGAAGCTCACACCAGTATGGTCCATTAAGAGTGCTGTTCAACTGAAACTGTTGACTTTATGTTTTCTGATTTGAAAAGGTTTACAGTTGGTTCCATAAGTATCTGGACAGCAACACAGCTGTTGTCATGCTGCCTCTGTTCACCACCACAATGGATTTGAAATGAAGCTTTCAAGATGTGATTGAAGCGTACACTTTGAGCTTTGAATCAAGGGTTTTAACAAAAAAGTGCCTTTTTCTTATAGAATTTTTACAGAGTCCTCATTACACAGTCTTAAAGGTCATTGGATAAACTGACATACTTTTAAATATAAAGACTGGTAAATAAGGCTGCAAGGTGGCTCAGTGGTTAGCATCGTTGCCTCGCAGCAAGAAGGCCACTGGTTCGCATCAAGGTGAGGACACCCGGGATCTTTCTGCATGGAGTTTGTATGTTCTCCCCATGCAGCGTGGGTTCTCTCCAGGTTCTCCGGCTTCCTCCCACACAGTCCAAAAACATGTTGAGGTTAACATGTAGTGATTCTAAATTGTCTGTAGGTGTGAATGTGAGTGTGCTTGGTTGTCTGTCTCTAAGTGTAGCCCTGTGATAGACTGGTGACCTGTCCAGGTGTCCCCTGCCTTCACCCTGAGTCAGCTGGAATAGACTCCAGCCCCCCATGACCCTAGTGAGGATTAAGCGGTGTATAGATAATGGATGGATGGATGGATGGATGGATGGATGGGTAAATAACCAGTGGGCGTCACCAAATACTGAGTTTTTTCTATTGAGATGCTTTGCCAGGATTTTATAAGAGCCTCCTTCAGTTGCTGCTTGTTTATGGGTTTTTCTGCCCTCAGTTTTTTCTTCAGAAAAGCAGCTCATTGGGTTGATCTCAGCTGACTGATTCCTTTTCTT